CTTTTTCTGCCTTGGGGTTTCATAGGTCAATCAATCTGTGTGGTCAGTCTTCATGTGGTCAATCTGCAGAGCCCCAGGGGAGAAAGCAGAAGTTCTGGGCACTCTCTCCATTTTAAATAGAGGTAAACTGAGGCACAGAGAAGTCTCCACACACAGGTACAGTACTTCTCAACCCCTCTCAAAAAAACAAGGGAAATTGTAGTAATTGTGGAGCGAGAGGCAGACTCTTTTGCCCAGAGAGACTTGAGACTGAGGTCAATATTGGAGAGAATTACCTTGGTTTACTTTACATGCACAAAGACTATGCTTCTTATCCTCTCTCCACATCCAAAAATCTCTGGGGTATATCGGCAGCCTCCTTTGTGGTACTTCCAGGAGAGAGAGAGTGTGTGTTGAAGAAGAAGCCCTGGATTGTAGTCAGGAAACTTGTACTGTAATCCCAGTCCCACCAAACCAGCTGTGTGGCCTTGGAAAAGTCACTGAACCCAGTATTGTACTTGAGAAACTGAAGTGAAAGGTTTGGACTTCATCAGTGGTTCCCAAACCTGACTCCTCATGAGAATCCATGTGTGTGTGTGCGTGTGTGCAGGTGTGAGTGTGTGTGTGTGTGTGTTGGGGTGAGGGGAGCAGGAGTTTAGGAATCTGTATTTTATTTTTTGGTTTTTTGAGACAGAGTATCACTCTGTCACTCAGGCTGGAGTGCAGTGGCACAATCTCTGCTCACTGCAACCTCCCAGGTTCAAGTGATTCTCCCATCTCAGCCTCCCAAGTAGTTGGGATTATAGGTGTGAGCCACCACGCCTGGCCAGAATCTGTATTTTGGAAGTGTTGAGATGATTCTCAAGAGCAGTCACTGCTGGGGACCCTGGAGCAGATGCTTTCCAGAGTGTCTTGCTAGGCTCTAACCTTTTCTGACTCCAAAGCCTCTTTTAGCACATTCCCCACAATTCGGTCCAAAGCCGACGTCGGCCTTCACAGTCAGCGCCCAGGAGTGAATCGGTGTGCGATCCCACATGTGCGGAGCTTTCTGTGTGCTTGCACCCTGAGTCCTGACTGTTTCTTGGCTAATTTGGCTTTGAAGCCTGCATCCTGGGCTCACCTGGGGCCAGTGGCGCCTGGACCCCGACTTGCTCCAGAGGGTCTAGGGCCTTCTTGCCACTGTGCTGCAGTCTAGAATGCCAGCTGCACCCACCCTGAGTCCAAGAGCAGATTAGGAATCCTGACCAGCCTCCCCTGCACCCTTGAGGCCAGCATCCTTCACAGGAGTTCTGAATTCACAGTCATGTGTCTCCAGCTGTCTCAGAGTTATGAAAAGTCTCAGTGTTAATAAGGAGCTGTGGAACGCCAGGGCTAAAGCTGTCTTTAACTCTTTCAAAACGTTCAATCCTGACATTCTTTGGCTTACTAAATAGGGAGGAGGCTTTTGCGTTTGTGTGGAGGTGGAGGAAGGAATAAACTGTGGCTCCCAGGGCTGACTTTTGTCCAGGGAACACATGTCTAGACATTCTCTGAGTGACAGGACACTGTGGCCCCTTGCCTGCGGGACACTCCAAGTAAGTGGGGCAGGGCTGCATGGGCAGGTGTTGGGGTGCAGTGAGCAGAGGAGGGGGTGCCGTGGGCTCACCCACCTTGTGCTTTTGCCCACTGCTCTTGTGTAGGAATACAATCTAGTGTTGCCAAAACTTGAGATTCTTGGAAGAAATCAGAAATCTCAATTTTACCCGAATTCTCCCAATTTTAAAATGATGACATATTTAATTTTTACAATTCCTTAGGCCGGGTGTGGTAGCTCATGCCTGTAATCCCAACACTGGGAGGCTGATATGAGAGGATCACTTGAGACTAGGGGTTCAAGACCAGCCTGCGCAACATACCAAAACCCCCTCTATTAAAAAAACAAAAACAGAAAACATTAAAAAAAAATTCCTGAGACCAAGCAAATCGCACCTTCAGGCTATAGTCTGGCTAGGGAGCCTGGCCACAGGACTAGTCTGGCTGTGCTTTAATATTCTGCCCTCAAATATGCAGAACCCCAAAGGAGGTCCTTCGTCTTATAAGCCTAATCCACCTTTAACTTGGTGACGTCCTTTGTTGCAGGGAGAAAGGATGCTACAGCTCTCTAAAGCCTTAGGAGTCTAATTTCTCTGCTGCTGTATCCATGGATCAGCAGTCCTCACCTTCCCTCTCCCTCTTTCTGTCCTTTGCTCCCAATAAGCCCTGATGAAAGAGAGCTTAGATGGGGCTAGTAGGGCCTCTCCCTGGATCTCCTCAGGTGTGTAGCCAGGCTACAAGCTCTCACACTGGCTCCTTTCTCATTCTAGAAACAAATTTAAACCCAAGTAACAGTGAGGTACCCTGTAGCATGAATGACTTTGAGCTATATATTTTAAAGGTAAATAATTTTTTGAGAGATGGTCTCGCGCTGTTGCCCAGGCTGGAATGCAGCAGTACGATCGTGGCTCACCATAGCCTCTACCTCCCAGACTCAAGGAATCCTCCCACCTTAGCCTCCTGAGCAGGTGGGACTACTGGCATGTGCCACCATATCCAGTTAATTTTTGTAGTTTTTGTGGAGATGGGGTTTTGCTATGGTTGCCCAGGCTGCTCTTGAACCCCTGGGCTCAAATGATCCACCCTCCTCAGCCTCCCAAAGTGTTGGGATTACAGGCATGAGCCACTGTGCCTTCCAGGCCAAAGGTAAATAATGTATGTTCTTTGATACTATATCAGAAACTATTTGTGACACATGTTACAGCAGATGAGTGGCAACAATGGAATTTCTATATAGGAAATTCTTGGGAATGGCATTTTGTTTGGGATCAAGGAATGGCTAAAGGACTTCATGTAAAGCGACACTGTATATTTGTTGTGTACTGAACTCTTTTTATTTAAATTGCACTTTTTTTTTGAGACAGAGTCTCACCCTACCACCCAGGCTGGAGTGCAGTGGTGCAATCTTGGCTCACTGCAACCTCTGTCTCTTGGATTCAAGCAATCCTCCTGCCTCAGCCTCCTGAGTAGCTAGGACTATAGTCCTGAACTGCCACACCTAGCTAATGTTTGTATTTTTAGTAGAGGCAGGTTTTCACTATGTTGGCCAGTCTGGTCTCGAACCCTTGAGCTCAGGTGATCCACCCACCTCAGCCTCCCAAAGTGCTGGGATTATAGGTGTGAACACCGTGCCTAGCCTAAATTGCACTTCTATTTTAAAACAAAGTTGTGGTGGTTAATTTTATGTGTCAACCTGACTGGCCATAGGGTGCCCAGGTGGCACCTTGTTTTGGGGTAGGTCTGGGAAGATGTTTCTAGATGGAATCAGTGTTCGTATGGGTGGACACAGTAAAGTCGCTTGCCTTCCCCAATGTGAGTGGGCATCACCCAATCCATTAAGGGCCTGAATAAAACAAAAGGCAGAGGAAAGAGGAATGTGGCCCTGTTTTCCAGCCTCACCATTTGACCTGGGACATCTTATGTGGTAAGCCATGGTTGCAGCACTGAACTCCAGCCCTCCACTGAGATCTCATCCATCAGCTCCCCTGGTTCCCAGGCTTTCCAACATGGGTTGTATTATATGACTAGCTTTCCTGGGTCTCCAGCTTGCAGACGGCAGACCATAGGACTTCCCGACCTCTATGACCCCATGAACCAATTCCTCATAATAAATTTCATTTTATTTACCTGCGTGTGCACACACACATGCACAATCTCCTACTAGTTCTGTTTCTCTGAAGAACCCTAATACACAAAGAAAACCTCCAGAAGTCAAGCCTTTGACACTGCCCCCTGTGATTGATCAGGACATATGCAAAGCAAGATATGTAGAGACCTGGTTTGTTCCAGATAGGGAGGAAAATGGTCAGAATGAAGTCCCAGAACAACCCAGGGAAAGTGTAGCCTCTACTGCTCAGGCAAAAATTCCATTTTGAGGGTGAGAATTTTTAGCCTAGTTCCTGAAAGTGTCCTGGACCAGGAAGATGCATTCTCACCACCACGCTGGGCCATTCTGGATAAAATCAAACCCACTTCTTGGCAAAGGTCAGTGGTAATGTCAGTAGCGTCTCAGACACCTGCCCGTGGATACCTTCTGCCAGGCAGCCAGATGGCTCATTATGACCCACATGTAGCCCTCTAGGCCCAGTGCCCTGGCTTGGTGGCTGCAGATGGCCTGGGGGATAGGGACTTGGTCTCATTGCTCAGAGTGTTCCCAGAGACCATCTTAAGATTAGCAAACTCAGGGGACACCAAGGAAGATTTCCTTAGATCTGGGTGGACCTGACTTAGAGTTTACTTCTAAGTAACTTCTAAACTCCAGAAAAGTAGAACAAAATGAAACATGCTTATTACTTGCCAGGAAGTGGTTGAATTCTTGCTGTTACCATAATGCTGCTATTTAGTATTATTTCAAGTAAGTAATCAGTGTATACTCAGAAGGTTTCAATTTAAAAATAAATAAATAATGGCCGGCCACGGTGGCTCATGCCTGTAATCCCAGCGTTGGTTGAGGTGGCCAGATCACAGGGTCAGGAGATTGAGACCATCCTGGATAACATGGTAAAACCCGTCTCTACTAAAAATACAAAAAATTAGCTGGGCATGGTGGCACGTACCTGTAATCCCAGCTACTCCAGAGGCTGAGGCAGGAGAATTGCTTGAACCCAGGAGACAGAGGTTGCAGTGAGCCGTGATTGCGCCACTGCACTCCAGCCTGGTGCCTGATGACAGAGCGAGACTCTGTCTCAAAATAAATAAATAAATAAATAAACAAACAAACAAATAAATAAAAATAAAAAATAAATTTACAAGAAAACCACTGACCCGTCACTAAATTGGTAGTTGTCATCACACTTAATCACTGCCTTGCCAGCATATCATTCCCTCTGGAAAACCTATCATCAGCAGCTGGCAGGAACTTGCACCCTTCTTACTTAAATTTATCTGTTAATAGAGGGTTTGACTACAACTTTTTTTTTCTTAACTTTGATGCAGTCACAACTTAACACTGAAAAGGAACGTGATGCTTATTGCTGCTTTCCCCCGAGGAACAAAGAAATCTGGAGGGACACACACAGGTACAGCATGGACCTGCTTTCCGAGTTATGCCTAATGGTTTTTTAAGTTGGGGTGTGTTGGATGAGGAAGGACAAGAAAGCTGCTTCTGCAGGGGAGGTAGTCCCCACTGCAGCTTCATCTGTCCCGAGACCACCTCTCCACAGCAACCCCAGGCAGGCGCGCTGGGCTCATGTCCTGGCTGCCTCACCCTGAGTCACAGAGCTCACCACAACACTTCTTCCTCCTCTACTTCGGGGCTGGCCAGCCAGGAAGTCACAACCACAGCTAAGAGGCTCCTCGCTGAGTATCTTCATTGGCCCCCAAGTGAGGCCAGAGGCAGATGGTGATGGTCTGAGGCTTGGGGCCACTTCACAGGACAATCATCTTTCTACTTTTCATTTTGGTTTTAGAACTCTGGAGTTCTATATCTCAAATCCCCTTTTCAGTCTGCAGATCTCCTGAAGGCTCATATGGTTTGCCAGGCCTTAGTCTGCCTGATACAGATGATAAGATAGTGGGTGAAATAAGAGGTTTTGTAGCACAAATTCCTGCTGACATGACATGTACACAGTATATGTGCAATTTCTCAACACATGTTTGGCCTAAACACTTGCAAATGCACCATCCCGAGCCAAGAGTGACTTTCTTTGATTTATTTTTTCTTTAAGGAATGACATGACTCCATCAACAATCATTGGAGAATGCCCACTATTTTACAGGCATCCTCAAAGTGAGAGATCCCCTGCCTTCTGGAGTTTTGCAGGTAATGGGAAAGGGTTTTTTACTAAGAAGCACAAATCCAAATTACTCTTGCTTCTTATGTTGGCAACCTTACACTCACGAGTAGGCAGCAGCAGCCGGGGGCACACAGAGCCACAGGCTAAACACGACCCATGGCTTCCTGAAATCAAAGGGCTTCAAAAATTTGAAAGACACATTTTTTTTCTTTTTATTTACTTTTGAGACAGAGTCTCGCTCTGTTGCCCAGGCTGGAGTGCAGTGGAGTGATCTCGGCTCACTGCAAACTCCACCTCCCAGGTTCAAACAATTCTCCTGCCTCACCCCCCTGAATAGCTGGGATTACATACATTCATAACCACACCTGGCTACTTTTTGTATTTTTACTACAGCCAGGATTTCACCATGTTGGTCAGGCTGGTCTTGAACGCCTGATCTCATGATCCTCCGGCCCCAGCCTCCCAAAGTGCTGGGATTACAGGTGTGAGCCACTGTGCCCAGCCTTCTTTTTAAAGCAACCACATACTATTCTGGAATAGTGTACAAAAATCACATAGACCATCCTGACCCTTAGTTGCATCCCATCTTCCACTGTCAGAGGACCAGGGCACTTTTTGGCATGATGGAGAAAGGGAGGAGGCAGGGGTGGCCCAGGAGGTGGCTGCAGTGGAGGCGGAGGCATCTCTGGGATGCAAATTGCAGGACACATCCTGAGGCGGTCAGGGTCCGGGGCATTCTTGTGGGTGCTCATTTGGGCCCTAGATTAAAGGCAGAAACACCGAAATGCCTTGGGGGACGTTGTAAACTTCAGCAGCTCTGTTGTTTCAGAAATGAGGGAGAAACATTCACCAGAAGCTTCAGACTGGGAGGAGACAGAGTCTTTGAAGCAACCCAGGGGCTTCGAAGCTGTAGCAGTGCCTGCTTTGAAGTTCCGTCCACTCTCCCCAGGAAGTGGGGAGGCTCTCAAGTGCTTACGGCAGAGAAGTTTCATAGAACAGAAAAGGCCGAGGGAGGCACGCTGCGCCCTCCAGCACGACTGCCTGGCAGGAAGCTTTGCTGAGTAACTTTGGTTTGAGTTGGAAACCTTCCGTCATGTTCCTGTCGGGCAGGGTGGTGAGTGTGGGCTGCGCTGTGGCGGGTGGGTTGGATTTCCACCTTCCTTGCAGTGGACAGGGATGCAGGGTAGGGGGCATGAAGCCATGAACAAGTGGAGACCTGACCTTGAGAAGATGTAGAGGTCACCACAGAGGGTTTCAAACTCACGAAAGCATTTCTGCTATGGGGAAGACAAGAGACGCCGGCCTATGGAACGGGCCACCAGAGATTCCACAGCAGAGCCCTGCCGGGGCCTCCAGACTTGTGGCTTTCATTATCTAGTCATAGGTTTACTGTCATCCAAGTTTAAGAAGCTTGGCTGTGACCCATGTGCAAAGAAAGGTTGCTCAGCCTTTTCTTTTTTTTTAAAGTGACTCTGAGCTGTTCAAGAGGCCGAGGCAGGATCCTCAGAGCCCACCAGCCCCGGAGAAGTGAGGACTTCCTACTTGCACTTTTCTTTTCTTTCTTAGGTACTTTTATTTTGAACACAGAGCTGCAAGCATTGGCCAGTCTGGTTAGTCTGGAAAAACTTAAGGGCCAACAGTGTATTTCTGCTCTGAGGGCAGTTTCACTAGCACAGAGCACATGGCGAGCAGAACGCAGATTACAAGGCTGGGAGGGTGCAGGTGAGGTGCTCTGGAATGATGGGCGCTGGGCTGCTCACCCAGTTTTACACAGAAGGTGGTAGGGCCCTGTCTCCCCTGCCCCTGACCACGCCCCGGGGAGAAATGGGTATGTTTGGGTGGCACCCTCCCGCATGTGGCAGGTGATTGTATTCCCAGCCCTGGAGCTCAGCGTGCACGGCTTGGGCTTCCATTTAGAGGAAGCTGATCCTTGGGCTTAAACACTCTGCTCTTTGTGTTTTGCAGAACAGGAGAGTCCTACTCCTCGTTCTGCTCTGCACAGTGAGTCCCCTGGCTTCGGCTTCCCTTCTGAGCACCTGATGGCTGTTGGTTTACTGTAACTCGCTGTCATTATATCTGCCTGGGCTTATGTTTCCAGCATCTCACCAGAGCTGCTGTGACCCATCTTCTGGGCAAAGCCTCCCACACAGAGGCTGCCAGTCCAGCAGGAGAGGAGACCCAGTCCATCCATCAGCATTTGAATAATTCCATCCACACATACTTCTCTTCCAAACACTCAGGCTATTTTCCTTTCCCCAAGCCATGCAAACTCAAGGCGCCAGCTGGACGGCCCGCTCTCAGGAACAGGACACGTCACATCACCTCGAGTGCTCCAGAAGCCTCGCCACAATGGTTTCTTTGTGAGGTCATCTTTGCAGCGGTTTCCTGAAGCTCTGGCCTCCTTCCTGGTATCTTCACACATTCTAGGTGATTCAATTCAGTAAGAACATAAGGGCCTTTTGACTGCTCACTCCCGCACTTCACACTGGGAGGATACAGAAGTCCCCAGAGAGTGCTCTGGACAACAAAATGTAGTTCATGGGTATCTAAGGTGGGTTCTATCCAAAAGGGCCCCACAAAGAAAGAATTCCAGAGCCAATTAAATTTGGGGATCTGCATACTCCATCTCCCTCTTGGTGATTCAAAACATATATTTATGACCCCGGGGGTAGTGGTGGATCACCTGAGTTTGGGAGTTCGAGACCAGCCTGACCAACGTGGAGAAACCTCATCTCTACTAAAGAATACAAAATTAGCCAGGCATGGTGGTGCATGCCTGTAATCCCAGCTACTTGGGAGGCTGAGGCAGGAGAATAACTGAACCCGGGAGGTGGAAGTTGCGGTGAGCCGAGATCATGCCATTGCACTCCAGCCTGGGCAATAAGAGCAAAACTCCATCTCAAAAAAAAAAAAAAAAAACAAAAACAAAAACCGCTAAACATATATTTTTATATATTAAAGGTTCTAAGAGGTCCTGTAAATAAATCCTGTTCCACTTTTTAACCCACCATTTCCCAAACCTAACATGATACTGGTATTAGCATACTACTTTTTTCATGTAACACCTACTTATATTTTAAGGAACTGATGTCTTTTGAGACATATTTTAGAAATGATCTAACAGTGGTTTTCAACCTAAGGAAACATCTCACTCTCTAGAGGGTGCTTGGACATAGGAGGTGGCATTTTGGGTTGTCACAAAGATGGGGAGGTGCTGCTTGCATTTCATACATACAGGTTGTGGGGGAGGGCCGCTAGATATCACGAGGCAATGCAGCCCTGAACATTTCATACATGGGGGGGGGCACTGTCTTGCTCTAAATGCCCGCAGCTCTCCCCACACCACTCTCCCACCCCATTGAGAAGCAGTGGTTGGACCCACGTTCAGCATTGTGTTCCCAGGCCCTCTCTGCGGGTAAAAGCCTCTTGCTGTCCTCCTGGTCTCTGCCTCCTCGCTTACTCTTGTTGGGATGCCTGCAGGCTGGAGAGAGTTAGGGCTTTTGTGGCTCTGGTCCCAGTAGGGTATGACGGAAGCAACAGCGGGCAGGGTTCCATGGTTCCACAGTTCCATCTACTCTGGAGGTGAAAAGGGGTGTGTGAAGTGGTCCCTTGAGAATAGAGAGAAAGCTGCCCACCTCTCTGAAAACTTTTCACCTCTTATGGAAAGGGGACCTGAGAGAAGCCTAAGAGAAAACTCCTGGTGCTTAGCCAACTCCTTGACAAGGAAAGTGAGAATGGAGACTGAAGCCCCTTCCACCCTTCCCGGTAACAAAGGGGAGACGCCAACACCCACGATCTGCAACTCAAAGTCAAGGGATTTCGTGTCCCTGCTTGTGTCAACAACACAAAAAACGTCCATGGCAACGGGCAAGTGCGGCCTGAATGGCAGTGTGTGGGTTTAACAAAACGCGCGGCTTACGGCTGCAGCCGCCCAGGGAAGTCCCGGCCCTGTCCTCGAGGGGCCGGTCCTGGGGGCGGGTGCAGCTCTGGGGGGCTGGCTGCGGGCAGTTTTGGGGGGAGCCGCCCTGCAGGGAGGCACCGGCGGTGGGCCTCGGAGATAGTGGCAGGGCGAGGCCCCAAGCCGGGGCGGGCACTGGGACACCCAACAGCCATATCAGCCGCCACTCCCCGTCCTCCACACAGCAGTGGCTGCGCAGCCCTAGAGCACCCACGAGCCCGTGCGCGCCGAGCCGCGCTGCAGTTCTCCGCACCGCCGGTAAAGGTGCAGCAGGCTCGGGCGACCGTCTCTGCAGCAATCCGAAGGCTCCTCTCCTAGCCCAGGAACGTCTGCGCACAAATTGCTTCCGTGTGCGGGCTTCCCGCTTCCTCTTTCTCTCTTAGGGTTAATGTGAGAAAAGGGAAGTGGCATAATTATTTATTTTGAAAATGACCTTTAGGGCAAAGACCTGCCAAGTGTGTAGTTCAATAGCTCATTTTATAGACGAGGACGCTGAGCTCCAGTGAGATCAGATTCCAGGTCGCAATGCTGGTGCGCAGCCAAGCCAGGGAGAGAACCCTGGTGCCTACGCCCTTGGGCATTTTGACTCCAGCATTCATGACTGTTTCCCCTTCTTTAATACCCACTGCAGCAAAATTTTGTTGCTGTTTCCCTCTGTTAAGAATTATTGAAACTTGGAGAAGGGGATGTGAAAAGTCCTTTCCATATTAAATTAAAGCAATGTCTAACAAGCCCATCTGAAAGGCATTTGGCTATCTAGGGGAAGGTAACTTTGACTTACTTTTTCACCATAAAAATAGACTCCAAACATTCTTAACTCTGAAATTAGTTAGGCGAGGAACCCTTGCTCATGCCTGTAATCCTGGCACTTTGGGAGGCCAAGATGGGAGGACTGCTTGAGGCCAGGAGTTTATAAGACCAGTGTGGGCAACATAGCAAGATTCCCATATCGATTAAAAAAAATAAACAAAACAAAATCACATTAGATGGTACTGTGTAGAAACTTTAAAAATATAAGTGCTGTCTGGGTTTGGTAGCTCACGCCTGTAATCCAAGCACTTTGGGAGGCTGAGGTGGGCTTGAGCTCAAGAGTTTCAGACCAGCCTGGGCAACACGGCAGCAAAACCCCTTCTCTACAAAATATACAAAAATTAGCTGGGCTTGGTGGCATGCGCCTGTAGTCCCAGCTACTCTGGAGGCTGAGGTGGGAGCATGGCTTGAGCCTAGGAGGTGGAGGTTGCAGTAAACCAAGATCACGCTACTGCACTCCAGCCTGGGGAACAGAGCCAGACACTGTCTCAAAAAACGAGAAGAAGAAGTAAATGTTTTTCCATTCTGCAGAGAGACAAATGATTCCTATTTCGTCAGAAAATTTACGCCAAAGGTTAAAGTTTTGCTGCCCTGTAGCACATTAACCAGTTTTGTATCTCACTTTGTGATCTTACGTCAGCATTCCTTTTTGTTCTGAGTACACAAACTCTGTTCTCATAACCTCTTTGAACCAGAGTTGCCACCTTGCAAAGTCCCTTATTAATGAGTTATCTACCTCACGGATACATACTCACCATCTCTTATCAAGTCTTCATATTCCTCTCCCTGTAGAGTCCCACAAATACACTACCATCTTGCAATGCACACCAAGCATCCATCGTTGATTCTGTGTCCCAAGTGGCTCCTCTGGAGTACTTGCATGGCATCAGAGGGACATACAGCTTTTAATCGTCAAAAATGATCAAATTCAACACATTATTCAAATAATCTCTGCCCCTGCCCCCTCACATTTTGATCATGCTGTATCTGTGACCTAGGGCTGGGGATTGGCCCTCAAGATGCCTACAGTGTTCTCGGCCCCTGCTAAGAGCCTCTGCCCACACACAGGGTCTTGCCCGTAACCCTAGAGCTCTGGGCACAGGGCTGGATGAACTGTGGCACACACCTGATCCGGGCAGCAGCCGACTTCCTGGTTGGTCAGCCAGTGAAGGAAGGCTCAGGCCAACCAGGCCAGTGAGATTCTCTGTCTTAGCAAATTGCTTAGAGTGGAACTTGGTAATAAAGGAGAGATAAAGCAGGCACTTGAGGCCCCAAAGCAGCAGACCCTTAAATAAGCAGCAGGAGGAAGATCCCGGCAGAGACAGAACACCTGAGTTTTACACGGGCGCATGAAGCTTGGGGGCACAGAACACCTGAGTTTTCCACACGGCGTACAGAGCTTGGAGGAACTCCTGCTGAGAAGCAAGAAGACAGAATGTCTGTTGTGGAACTGTGTTTGATCTTGAAAGACCTCTCAGTTCCTGAGTGGTGTCTTGGGTTCTGTCAGGCTCCACACAGGTTCTGCTGCTCCTCTTCCTCCCACAGGCTGAACTGTGTGGCTTTTCCAGTGTTGCCATCACACCTGTCCTTTGCTCTGTGGCCCTTAGTTTTTTATCCACATGTGGCTGTAAAACAAACTCCACAGTCCTGGAGGAAACTCAGTGGGTCCCTTCTTCTTCCAATCCAAAGACCTCGACTCACTCTCTCATGTTTTCTAACAACTTAATAAGTTAAATAATAATAAAAGAATTGTTACCTTTGTTCAGCCAACTCTCTCCAGGCTCATCAATGATTTTCTAGGAAAAAATAAGTTTCCTTACATAGACCTGCCCTTCCTCTGTCTCTCTCCATTCACATTTGAGCATTCATTCATTCTCTCCTCAAGCACATCATGGATTCTAAAATGAAGAAGGCAATATTCGTGCTTTGGAGAAGCTCACAATTTTGCATGTGCCATGTTACAAGAGTGGGGTTGGTGCGGAGTGAAATGCGAGGCCGTGTCCCAAGATGGGGGCACCAGAACTGGGAGTGACAAGGTGGGGAAATGGGGAGGAGCTTTTCCTCCTGGCTTTCCCACAAACACTGACTTTCATGCCTCTGGCCTGGAACCACATGTAACCAAAGCCGTATGTTCAACTTGCATTAATTAAACGGTGGCCTCCACAGCATTTCTGGGGCTGTTTCTGTTGTTTTTGCATTATGGTGTCTTCAGTATTTGTTACTGTGTGTCGTTTGTGATGTTTAACCCTGTGGCTCAGATTCTATTTGTCTGTAAAGCTTAAATGTGGAGAGACTTCTAGTCTTGATTAAAAAAAAAAAAAAGAATTATTTTTGGTTTATTTCATGAGAACATTTCTTCTTTAGGTTGAACCTCCAAGGGTCTTCCTTCTTGATTTTCTGAGAGATGACTGTAATCCTAAAACTGATTTTAGGAAATAGTATAAGGAAAGGCTATGCTATAAACTCAAAGTCCCAATCCCCAGTTCTCAGCCCCAAACTGAAGAAAGATTACATTTCCAATCTAGTTTCTAATCCCAAATATCCAGGCACCCAAGATGGCAGAAGGGAAAAGGCGGTGCCTTAAACTAGGAAGGGACATCTCCAGCTTGGCCCAGTTCTTACTCTTCCCAAGGGCCACCCTCAAGCCCCACCCTGAGCAGGTAGGTGAGGCAGGCAGGCAGCCCACGAGCACGTGTGGGAGAGAACTCCAGGCTGCAAGAGCTGGGCAGACACAGTGGTGCTGCAGCCCTGGCCCTGTTTTTCTTTCCCACAAAGACCAATACCAGTGCTGGTGACATCAGGACAGTTTTGATCATTTTTATTTTAGGGTGAAGGCGGTGTCACGGTGATTAAGAGGCCTGTGAGCTTGTACAGGTCCCCAGAACTGCAGGCCACCCAGGCTTCCTCCTCTACAATAAGGACAAGGAGAAAGGCTGCTTCCTAAGGTGATGGTGAGTTATGATGAGGAGTACAGAGAGCCCACCCTGCTCTCAGTGCTAACTATGGGTATGATTTCCTTCTGGGAGAAGACAGAGATTGACCTTCTGATCCTCCCAGCTGTAAATTTGGGCTGGGGCAACTTTTAGACACAAACAGGGCAGTCCTGGCTGTGGAACCTCAACGTTTTCCTTGGGGTGGAGCATCTAGGTATTTCCCTAAGGTTTCTGATGCCTGGGCAGGGTGGGGTGGGGTGTGGCTCATGCTGACAGCTGTTCCCCACCCAGCTTTGTGCCCTGGGAAGGGAGACCTACCTGCATATCCCGCTGCACTGGATCTGCAGGGACACCTCAGGCACAGACCCTCATTTGCTGCCTAACCCAGCCCTCGTGTCCAGAGAGATTTTGCCATGATTTCAAAGAAGAAATGATTATTCAGAAGGCATTCTTCTCTGTATTTCTAAAGCCCCCACTACAACGTACAGCAAGTGACCACACCTTTAGCATCTTCCTTGCCTAACCCAGACCCTTACAGCATTCAGCTGGAAAAGACCCTTACAGCACTCAGCTGGGTGCCGTGATTATGCCTGTAATCCCAGCACTTAGGGAGGCCAAGGCCAGGGGATCGCTTGAGCCCAGGAGTTTGAGACCAGCCTGGGCAACGTGGCAAAACCCCATCTCTAAAAAAAAAAAACAACAAAAATTAGCCAGGCGTGGGGATGCACTTGTGGTCCCAGCTATGGGGGAGCCTGCTGAGGTGGGAGGATTGCCTGAACCCAGGGATGTCGAGGCTGCAGTGGGCTATGACTGCACCACTACACTCTACCTTGGGCAACAGAGTGAGACCCTGTCTCAAATGAAAACAAAATTTCAAAAAAAAAAAAAGAATTCCTACCCTTAGAGGCTCCATCCTCCCCTCCCTCTTCTGGCTTCTCTTCCTGTGTCTCTCTTGTGTGAGTCTCTCTAATAAAGAACACTGAAATTATAAGCCAATTTTGCCTCCTGGGCAGGATTTATGAAATCCAGGTGACCCTGGTTGTACCATGGGGAAAAAAAACCTTTATTTTGTCTACTCAGCATTGTCCTGGTTTTTATTTGCATATTCTGCCTCCTCCTCCAAAACTCACTATACTGTTCTGGTGAGGCTGACCCCACCTAGATTCAGAACTGAACCAGGTCTGGCCAATTAACAAGGCCTTCAGGAACTGGTATGTGGCCCAAGTCAGTCAAATAAATCAGTCCCAGGACTCTTTGTTTATAGATGTACGTAATATTTGTAACTGTTGGGAAAGTGTCTAGCTTTCCACAGGGACTGCTAACCTGTTCCAGTGTGACCCTAAGGATGCCGGTAGCCATCCTGCCACTCTCGGGGGTAGGGAGAGCCACAGAGGCAAAGCAACTCTGAGAGCTGAGTCCTGATGATGGGTCGAAGCACCCGAATCCAGCAGTGTGTGAAGCCCCTGAACTTCCAGTTATATGTGCTGGTGAATTATCCCTTTTGCTGAAGTCCTTTTGAATTGGAGTTTATATCACTTGCAATTTAAAGAGAACCGACCACCAGCTGGCTCAAGTCTGAAGTATAAACTGGTTTCTAGCAATCAAAAGCAATGTGTGGTCAGTGTAGTGGCTCCAGCCTCTAATCCCAGCAGTTTGAGAGGCTGAGGTGGGAAGATTGCTTGAGGCTAGGAGTTTGAGACCAGCCTGGGCAACATAGCTGGACCACCATCTCTAAAAATACATAATTAAAAATAATTTTTCTCTTTTTTGAGATGGGGTTTCACTCTTGTTGCCCAGGCTGGGGTGCAATGGCACATTCTCGGCTCACTGCAACCTCCACCTCTTGGGTTCAAGTGATTCTCCTACCTCAGCCTCCTGAGTAGCTGAGATTACAGGCACTTGCCACCACCTCTGGCTAATTTTTTATATTTTTAATAGAGACGGGGTTTTATCATATTGGCCAGGCTGGTCTTGAACTCCTGACCTCAGGTGATCCACCTGCTCCAGCCTCCCAAAGTGCTGGGATTATAGGCATGAGTCACTGCACCCAGCCTAAAAATACAATTTTTAAAAAGCAAGATATTTCTTTAGGTAAAAGAAAAAAAGAGGCAGGAGGAAAGAACAGAAAAACCTAGGAGGGGAGGCTTAGTCTATAAAACACTGTCTTCCACTTTCTCCCTCTTCTTTACAACCATTTCCCCCCTTCATCATAGTCAGGTGATCTGTCTCCACTGTGCTTTTAGCAACACAGCCTTAAAAAAAGAGACTAAGAGACTCGCTCCAGTCACACAGCATGTTGGGACAATGGCGAGGTTTTCTCCCCAGGGATCCCTTCTGTGTTTGAATCCCCCATTCTAAGAGTTGTTCTGCAGCGGCCATGGAGACTGGTGTCTGGATCCCGGCCCTCACTTGGAGCAAGTGTGCCACTTCTGGAAGCCTCCCAGTCTTCAGGCTGAAGTTGACTTCAGTGGGGCAGGCAACCTCATGCCCTACCTGGGTGCCAGTGAGAACTAGATTCAGCTTTTCTTTCTTCTTTTCTTTTTTTTTTAAACTCTGCTTTATCTTCAATGGATTCAGCTTTGAAAGACCCCCCTCTCTGCCCACAAATGGTTTAAACAAAAAGAGAAGTCCATTTCCTTCTCAGGTGAATGAAGTCTGGACTTAGTCTTCCTGAGGTGGTCATGAACCAGGATCTCTTGATTCTGCTTCCTCCCCATCCTCAGTGTTTGGCGTGCACTTTCCATGACTCCCTTCCCTCCCCTCCCCCTCTGCGCTTGCTGCTCTCACTTCCTGCCCTGGCTGGAACACGGAGACTCCACCGGTGAGGGAGGCTGGAAAAGCCATGCTTCATTCTGAGCGCCAGTTTCATGTTGGAGGCCATCACTAAGGGAGAAGACGAAAAGGATATTTGGGGGATACCAGGAATCTCTGACCTCTCAGGTCACCCCGTGATGTGCCACAGCAAACATCCTCACTGGAATAGCTCCACTGCTGGTGATGCCAATGAAGGCCACTGCGGAAACGAATAATTAATTCCAGACACGTCAGTAAAGACACCCTCCTGTTATAAATGCTGAGAGAATGGCTTGGGACCACCTGGGAAAAGCTTTCCTATGTTTCTCCATCCAGACAATTTAGAGATCACTACCCTCAGGGAATAAGTTCTCAAATCCCATTTCAATGCCTCATGGACAGCTGGACTTAAAATGATTTAGGCAGAAACATTTTAGGAAACTTCCAGGGAGCCAGAGATTAGGCAAGGGAGCTGAGTCCCTACGTGACCCTGTCTCAGCTGAGATCAAACAATAGTAGCTTTCTTCGTGGAAAACTACAGTGGGAAATGTTTCCTGATATGTTTCACTACGAGTCGATACAGAAGGTTCATTTATGAATAAGAGAACCGTGGAATTCCACACAAGGTTGTTGGGTCCCAGAGCTCCTTCTGCAGCTCAGGAGCACTGTAACTGGATTCTCCAAACAGCTTTGGCAAGGCATTAACAACCATGTGACAAACTACCTTTAGGGAAGGAACTCAACCTCAACATTCACTAGTTAACCCTTGCAGAGTGCTTAAAATGCTGGTTGGAGCATGGTGGGGGCTCAGCAAGTATTAGTGAAACATGTGCCTGAACATTCTGGGTAAGAAAAGCCATTATTATTATTAAATACTTAAGACGCATTTAGTATGTATAAGGGATATAAGTACTCTGGAGGATCACAGAAGTGAAAAAGACATTGTCCCTGCCCTCAAGGAGTTTATACTCTAATAAAGAGAATAAGAATTATTTCAAAGGGTTGTTTATTTCATGTCAGTTTCTCAAAAACCAAAGCAAAAAATAATCAAGGTAAGAATCTAGGTTCCTGCCTCTCACATTTATCATTCTAAATGTCTTTTTCTTTTTTTAGTAAGTTTATTCAGAAAGTAAAGGCATAAAGAATGGCTGCTTCATAGGTAGAGCGCCTGTAATTGTAAATGTCTTTGAAGAGAATGGTTTTTATTTTTATTTTCTTTTATTTATTTATTTTCAGAGATGGGGTCTTACTACATTGCCCAGGCTGGTTTTAAACTCCTAGCCTCAACCAATCCTCCTGCCCTGGCCTTCTAAAGTGCTGGATTTACAAGAATGAGCCACTGTGCTCACCTGAGGCTGGTTTTTAAATCCTCTCACTTCTCCTAAAGGATGGTGAGGATGTGATGTGGGTCACTTGGGGCAGGCTGGGAGAGTCACGGGCAGCACAGTGTCCTTGGAAACAGCAGCAGTGGTGCCTCCTGTTTGTTCCTGTCACCTCCTGCTTCCTCGCCGAGGCTCTGCCTCAGTGTGCCCCTCTCCAAGACGAGACAACGGCATATGTGTCCGCCAGCTCCCTCCCTCCGTGGTACTCCTAGCTGCTGGAGCCAGTCATATCTGTGAATCACATAGAGCTTCCTGGCAACTGGTCTTACATCAAATCTTTCTTGGCAATATAAGAGTGAAACAACTGGTTTTTCAAACTGACTGTTTTGTTTTGAATTCATCTTCAGATGAGCTTTTCTCAGGAGAAATGAAGAGTGAGGGACAGAGAGCAGAATAAAATGTCCATAGGAGAGTAAAACAAGACGCCAGAAGACTGGGAGGAAGACCACAGATTTCCAGAGTCTGATCCTCTGCTACCAGACCCTGAAGGCAGCTCTTTGATTTCTGGGCACCCGTGTCCTCCATTCTGTGCCTTCGGCAGCCACCACCCCAACCCCAGGGTCGTGCTCCTCCACACTGTACAGCAAGTTTACTGCCCAGCAAAGTATGGCCCAGATTAACAGGGGCTTCAAAACCATCCACACTTATGTTCATTCATTCATTTATTCATTCTATATTCATTCAGCACTCACTGAGCACCAGCACTTGTTATCTAGAAGTCTTGTCTCCATTTGCTATCAGCAAGGGTATCTCCTTTTCTATACAATGAGTCTCATTTCCCAAGAGTGGTTTTGGATTTGAAAGCAGATACTACTCAGAGGCTTTTCGGACAGCCATGTCTCTCAGCTCCTCAGGAGGCCCCAGTTCTCCAAAGGAGACATGCATCCTTGGCCCAGGTTAGCATCCATCTCCCTGAACATTCTCACAGATATTAAAAAGGATCAAAGCATCTTTGCACAGTCCTGGTTGTCCCCAAGGAAATCAGAGGCACCTGGATATAACTAACAAAGACACTTTGTGTCAGTGGGGCTGAGTCACCTGACAGGTCTGAAATGTAGCTTCCTCCTCTGGGGCCAGGAGAATGGAATCCAAAAGACCAGAAGGATAGGTCAAAATGAAGATAAAATTTTAAAGGAATGAAAGAGTTTTGTACTTAGCGATTAAAGGAAGAAAAGAAATGATGAAGGAGAAAGGAATATCATTTGATGGTGTTGTATGTGAAACTGACTTGGAGATTTTGGTTGACTGCAAGCTCAGGGTGGACTAAGGCCTAATATGGCAGCTGGAAACCTGAATGACCTTTGATTGTGTTGACAGTCAGGAGTGTCTAATGAGGAGAGAGTAGCCCCTGGGTTTGTCACAGGTCAGGCCATTTGTAAAATGTCAGGCTTAGTTCTGGGTCCATGTTTTAAGATACATCTTAACATACTGGAAGGACTCCCAGAGAAGGATGGTCTAAGTGTGGGAACCACACTGCACAAGAAGCCACTGATGTTCATCTATAAAAGTGATTTATGGACATGACAACCTTCTTCAAATATCTGATTGTCATGATGTAAAAGGAAGCCCGGAGAGCTGAAGGCTGAGAAGGGCTTCATTGGTGGGAAAGACCCTCTGACATGGACTTCCACAACCTCTGGCCACTTCACCTCACAGTTTGATCTGCATCTTCCTCTCTCCCTTCATGTCCTCCTGTCTTAGAGGAAGAATCATTCCTCCTCCTTCCAGAGGCTGACCTCATCCTCTCCCATCTCCTACAGAACATGCCCTGCCAATTACCATCCCCTCCAGAATCCTTTATTTTTCTTTCTTCCCATAAGCCCACAAATAGGAGGGAGATGATGAGTTGGGTACTTATTACATGCCAGGTGCATAGTAATTAATCTGCCTTATCTTGATTAATCCTCAAACCAACCCAATGAAGTAGATGATATCCTCTCCATTTGTAGATGAAGAAACAGAAGTTGGCTGGGTGAGGTGGCTCATGCTTGTAATTCCAGCACTTTGGGAGGCCGAAGTGGGCAGATCACTTGAGACCAGGAGTCTAAGACTAGCCTGGCCAACATGGTGAAACCCCGTCTCTCTCCACCTCAAATACAAAATTTAGCCAGGCATGGTGGTGCACACCTGTAATCCTAGCTACTCAATAGGCTGAGGCACGAGAATTGCTTGAACCCAGGAGGTGGAGGCTGCAGTGAACTGAGATCACACCACTGTACTCTAGCCTGGGTGACACAGCGACACTCTGTCTAAAGAAGAAAAAAAAAAGAAACAGAGGCTGCAAGGCCTTCAATGACATTCCCAAGCTCACACATTAAGTATGGAATTTGTAAAGAGGAAAGGAAAGGAAAGGGAGGGGAGGGGAGGGGAGGGGAGGGGAGGGGAAGGGAGGAAGAGGAGAAAGAAAGAAAGAGAGAAAGAGAGAGAGAGAAAGAAAGAAAGATTGGAAGGAAGGAGCTGAAAGGAGTTCAGTGACATTCCCAAGCTCACACAAGTGAGCTTGGCCAAGTATGGAATTTGCAGAGTGCTTAAAGGGCTGGATGGACTCAATTTCAGGTCCATCTGCCATTAAAACTCCCAAGCTCATTTGCCCGGCTTTAAACATGCTGTTCCATTCCTAGCCAAGTGTGTTTAAAAGAAGCCTCTCTCCAGGTATCTACTTCCTCACCTCTCATCCACTCAGCCTGCTACAGCCTGCTTTCTGCCCTCATCCTCTGCAGAAACAGCCTGTAGAAGGTCATCTGTGACTTACGTTAACCCCAACAGCCTCTCCTTAGTTCTCACCCCACGTGGCCCTCTGTGGCATTGACATTGCTGGCCATACTCACCTTCCCCTACTCTCCACTCCCTGCTGCATCTGGCTGAGCCCCTTTCTCTCACCACATCACCTCTCATCCTGTAATCCCCCCCTCAGGTCCCTCCTTCCAGGTGTCATTGCCCTTTTAAAGGACCTGAGGACTCAGCTAAAGTTGGAAACTGGGAATCTGTGTGTGGGACTTCCCTGACAGGTGCAGGGGTGCTATGGGTCTAAATGTGTCCCTCTCAAATTCACATGTTGAAACTTAAATTGCAATCAAATAGTATTGGCCAGGTGTGGTGGCTCACGCCTGTAATCCCAACACTTTGGGAAGCCAAGGTGGGTGGATCACAAGGTCAGGAGTTCGAGACCAGCCTGGCCAACATGGTGAAACCCGTCTCTACTAAAAATACAAAAATTAGCTAGGTGTGGTGGTATGTCGCTGCTTGGAGGCTACTTGGGAGGCTGAGGCAGAAGAATTGCATGAACCCAGGAGGCAGAGTTTGCGGTGAGCCAAGATTGTGCCATTGCACTCTAGCCTGTGCAAGAGAGCTAGACTCTGTCCCATGAAACAAAAACTCTGTCTTTGCTGAGAGAAGACAGAGAAAAAAATGGCAATGAAATAGTATTAAGAGGGGGCCTTTAGACGGTGATTAAGTCATGATTCCTTATGCATGGGACTAGTGACCTCATAAAAGAGGTCAGATGGAGCCTCTTTTGCCCTTCCCTCTCTTCTGCCATGTGATGACACAGCAAGAAGGTGCCATATAAGGGACAGGCCCTCACAGACACTGAATCTGCTAGTGTCTTGATCTTGGACTTCCCAGGCTCTAGAGCTATGAAAAAATAAATCTCTGTTCTATATAAATAACCTAGTCTGTGGTATTTTGTTGAAACAGCCCAACAGACTAAGACAAGGGGTAAAATATGGGGTGCAGTTCCAATGACCCAGCTGTCCTCATACCTATACTGCGTGGAGTTATAAAGGGTGGAGAAGAGTTATAGGTCAGAAACAAAGGGGCCAGAGATGGGGATTGGTATTGTCTCAAAAAGCAGAGACAGCTAACTGGGCAGAAGGCAGTGGATAGACAGTGAGATGGTGAAGTTCAAGGAGAAAGCAGCCTGAGGCCCTGGGAGAAGGTGATTGTGATACAGAATAGGCGGATCTCACTGGAATTACAGATGTCGAGGAACTGAGAGTCTAGATCGTTGGCCAGCTCATCGACCTAGACCCTGAACTCCCCTGAAATCATTCAGGAGGTGGATTTCACTTCCCTGACCTGTGTCCGCATCTCATGTGAAGCTCTGTCCTCTACAGCAACAAGATTTTGCATCCCCAAGGGCTTACCTTCCATTTTCCAGTTTGCCCTGAGCTCAGCATCCCTACTCGGGTTAAGCAGGACCACAGATGCAGTGTGTACTGAGTGGGCTAACTCCAGGGGTGCCCTTCCCGCAGAATACCCATTGGGGGTCCTGAGGCCATTCAGATAAACACTTATTGAAAGAAGAGATGAATTCATTTCATGTGTGTCTTACTCCAATTCAGTTCAGCAGCATTCTTTGAGCTCCTACTGATACCAGGCTCTGTGTGATGGATTAAGATACTCACAATGAGAAAAGGGGCAGAGGGACAGCCTGCTTCCCACATGCTGATGTCCTTGCTGATTCCCAGGGCAAAACCTCAGAGAGTTCCAGATGTAGCCTTGGGCTCTCTCTTCTGGTCTCAGCATTTGCAAACCTCCTTGGGAACCCTACAATTCTTTAGCTTAATAAATGAGACGAGAATGGTCTTGGTGAGACCACTCAGGAATATCTGGCATCTCTCAGGTCCTGGCCCACACCCCCCAGAATCACCAGGTGAATGAAGCAGAAATGTATCTGCCTTGGGCAGAGCTGCAGCTGCTTTCCCTCTTCATGGTCTACAATTGAGGGGTAGGGGGATTTACTGCTTTTCCCCTTGGCTTCATATCTCTCCTACCGAATTTCCTTCTGCAAGGAGTCTCAGGATCTCTTTTCATTTTTACATAGAAACAACCACTGCCTCCAAACCCTTGGAGTATTTCTCAGAGAATTCCGTCTTGGTTGTTTCCTTCAGCATAGACAAGAGCTGGACCATCACAAGGGCCTTCTCCTCCTTATTTTTGAAAGAAAAGCACAAGAAAAGAGCCTTCCAAAGTGATCCCCAAATGCTAACTTGCTGCTCCCCCATTAAAGTTGGTGCTTGCCCTCACTCTGCCTTATTTTAAGCAGTGGCACTTCTGCAGAGCAGAGCTAAAGATTCAGCAAGACAAGATAGGTCTTGGATGGCTGCCCCCAGGTCTGCCCTCAGAGACTTCCAGAAAAGCCTTCCTCTCTGTCACTTTGCCTGATTCGCCATTAACATTCCTGCAGCGGGTCCCAGGTACCCAAGTTCCAGCTAGACAAGCTATTAAAATCCCAAGCAGAACTGGAGCATCAAGTTGCTGAGGGTTCACTTTTCGCTGGCAGGCCTCCTCTATAACCACCGCCACATCCCTCAACACACACAGAGAAATACAGTCTGAGGATAAGAAGCCACACTGAGGCGCCAAAGGCGCTGGTGAGGAGGGGACTGGTCCACCAGCCATGGGGAACCCCTTTACAAAGGGGCCGGCTTTGACGTGGGAGTGCAGATGGGAAATGTAGAAACCCTGCAGCAGAGGCTGAATCCAAGACCTGCAATCCCAGGACTCTGGTTCTGTTTAGACTCTTAGGGTAGTCCCTCTCACGAGAAATCCTGGAGCTGGACCAGCTCTGGTGATAACCTGAAACCCTGGGGACACATTCAGTTTGCAGATGTGTTGCATGATATTGAGCAAATGTTGATTCAACATGTATAAGCTGGGAGTCAAAGATTCATGGCTTCTTTTGGAGAAACAGAAGATATTGGTACACCGGGATCTCATGCCAGATGGACTGGGCCTTTCAGATAGAGTGAGTGACTGACAAGTTCTCCACACTTTCACCACTCCCTGTGACAGCCCTCATCAGAGGACAGGTGCTGCTGATCTTGCACATGCACCGCTGTTTACTCTTATAGTGGAAAAAGGTTCCTCTATGTACTCACTGCCATCCTACGTGATTTCACACCCAGGACCTCCCAACTCCTGAGAGTATTTGATTTTGCAACCTCTGATCTAAAGCACCTTGACTAGCCTGGATTGTTTCAATCACAAGGGACAGAAGATAAACTCACCTAATTTAAACAAAAATAAAAGAGAGGGTGACAGGCTCCTGGAGGGTGAAGGATTCCTGGGCAGTGACAGAATGGAAGGAGGGACTGCAGGAATCACAAAGTGGCCACTGCACTCTGCCAGGACTCTCTCTCCTTTCTGCCTGTCTCTGTCTTTACATGTTGGCCTCATTCTCTTACAGCAGAGATGCCTTTGCCACGTGGTGAGGATCATGGCCACCAGAAGTCCCAATTTAGAAATCCCAATAGAAAAAAAGAGCTTCCTGTCTCCAGTTCTGAAAAATCAATCCCAGGAAAGGATGCTGGCCTCACTCGGGTCAGATGCCAGAGAGCTGCAGGCTATTTTCTTTTCAAATCAAACACTTATGTAGCTAGTCACTGTTCTAAGCAGGTCACGAATATTCACTTATTTAAACCATATTTTAAAAAGCCTATGAGTTAGGTGTCATTGCTGCCTCCATTGCAAATGAAGAAAGTGAGGCCCAGAGATGTTAAGTGGCTATCCCAAGGCCACACAGCTATTAATTGATGGAGTTGACATTTGAAGCCAGGCAGCCTGGCTCCAGAGCCTATACTTGTACTCTATTGTATGATTGTGAAGGTTTGTACTACACAAGTCCAGGAAAGGAACCACTGAACTTACACAGAGCACGACCTGCACAGGTGTTGTGAAGAGCCTGTGTGTGCCTGAAATTTAATGTCCAGTCCTAGAGGTTGACCTGTTTTGGATATTCTAGCTCAGTTTCTATATCTGTAAAGTGAGAGGATAAGCGTTATCTTCTGGGATTGTTACGATTTGGGGAGATGAGTAACCATCTAGCATGGCTCTTGGCACAAAGAATGCTCTAGAAAAGGTCAGCCATTAAAGATTTAACTTTCTTCCTGGCTCTCCTGGGCAGGTGTCATTCCCAGCCCTCTGCTCTCACTTATGATCACATCTAGTCTGAGAATTGCACAGGCCTTGCCACCTCTCCTAGTGTAGCCTTGGCTTTTCAGGATGAAACATAAGCCCTGCTCCTTTTTAAGGAGGGTTGCAAAGGGCAGGGAGAAAGTTGGGTGCTGAGTATGTGGGTGGATGGGTGGGTGGAGGCTGAGGGGAATCAGAGCAAGTTGTTGAAGAACAGCAGCTGCTTTCATGCTGAACTGTGATGAGGGTGAATGAGATGAAATACAGAGGAAAAGGAGCAGAAAGAGAGCAGGGAGACTGTAGCTACCAAAACAAGTAAAAATCTATGACTGGTCATTGAGTTTTAGAGTTAAAGGAAACTTAAAGATTATCAGTTGAGAGGTTATTCAACCTTTTTTTAAAAAAGTAAGATCTTATGCAGGACCTAATTCTGCAAAATGGATAGAGGCAGAGTGCCCTGGATGGGTGAGGGCAGGGCACTTGGGGAGCAGTTAGTTTGGCCTTCCTGTTGCCCTCCATGCAGGGCTCCTGTGGACAAACTTTGAAAACCAGACCTGGGTCAATCCAGGATCCAACAACACCGCAAATATTACCCACTTTGTTTGTGCTCTACAAATAAATTATCTCATTATTCATGCCACAACTTTATGTCTAAAGTAATGGCCATTTTATTTCCTCATGATTTTGTGGGGGTAGTCATTTGGGCTGGGCTCAGCAGGGTGGTTTTCTAAAGTTACTTTGGCAGCCACTGTCATCTAGAGGCTTGAATGGGGCTGGATCTTTTAAGATGACCTCACTTACATGTCTGGAGGTTGGTGCTGGCTGTTGGCTGGGCTTCTCTTTATGTATGGTCTCTCATCCTCAAGGAGGCTATTCTGGAATTCTTTAAATGTAGTATCAAGTTCTAAGAGGGCAAGAATGGAAGCTGAAAGGCCTCTTGAGCTAGGAAGTCACATAGAATCACCATTGTTACATTCTACTGGTCAATGCCAGTCACAAGTTGCTTTTCCCAGAATCAAAGAGAGGAAAAATAAACTCTTTATAAGAATGTCAAAGTCACATGGAAAAGAGTTGTTTATGCAGAAATGGGAAAACTTGTGACTATTTTTTTTTTTTTTGCAACCTACTGCATTGCCTTATTTTCTATAACCTTTTTTCAATAAATTTGGCATCTATCTGGGTATACAGACTTATAGCATGTGTGGGAGAATGTGGAAAACTCTGCCAGCTCTCTAGTCATTATTCATTCTCCATTTTTTTCTTATTAATACAACCTCAGTTATTTTTTCTCAGGGGGGCAATATGCCCAGTTACAAATATTCATATCCCCAGATTCCCTCACAGCTGGGGTCACCACATGACCCAGTTCTGGACAATGAATGTAACTAGAAATTTCCTGGGCAGGGGCTCCAGGAAGGCTGTTAATTTCTGGATAAAAGGGAACAGACCTCAGTAACACTTGCCTTTTCACTTTTTCCCTTTTTACTTTCTGTCTCATTCTTGTCTGGATCACATATGCCACGTTTAAAGGTAGGGTAGCCATCCTGAAATCATGAGAATAATGAAAAAAATGGCAGAATGGGAGAACTGAAGAAACCTGATTTCTAATGGCATCAAGAGACCCCTCTTCTGGTCCTGGACTCCCTACGTCTGGGCTTCTTTTTGTCTAAAAAAAACAAACCCTAATTAGTTAAGTCACTAGAGTTGTGGTTTCTTCTCCCGAAACTGGAAGTGATGAGGTGGTGAGGCTAAGAAATAAGTCAGGAGGCTGACCAAGAAGATCCATGATTATTAAGAAGATATCATAGCTGCTGTGAAAACAGAAATGAGTTTCTGCCTGTTATGCGCATACGAATTTGTGTGTATTTGGATGTGCATGAGTCTAGACAGATGTGAGTTTGGGTGTGGGGGTGAATGTGTGTATGTAAGGAAATGCTTTAGTTGTTGCAAAATTTAAAATCTAATTGGGGACCAGATTTTCAAAAATTAAAGTAACAAGTTAAAAATGAAAAGGTAAGTTTAGTGGTGATGACTATAAACCTTGTACTTGAGATTTTAAAATATATCAGGGTGGAAGGGCTTAGTTTCACAGCCTGGGGGTTTGAGTTGTCTGCAAAGGCTCAGAATGAGCTCACAGAGTGAACTGCATGTGCCAAAAGCTCTGGCTCGCCTTCCAACTGAAGTGATCATCTAGGCTCTAGTGCACGGGGCAGAATTCCCTCAAGCTCTACATGGTCAGAACTCCAGAGGTGAGCACCATGTTTATTCCAGGACTGGAGAATGGAGCCCATCCAGAGGAAGACTGAGATGCTAACCAGAGATCTGGGAAAGTTTAGGCTAGGCAAGAGAAGACTTGGAGGGGCCTGATAATAACTGTAATAGGCATTGATCATTATGTACAAACCACACCTAAAACCTGGTTTCTTAAACCAACAGTAACCATTCATTTGTTCACAGGTCTGCAGTCTGGGCCAGGGAGCTTTCCTCTGCCCTGTGCAGTGTCGTGGTGTTGGCCAGGCTCATTGATAGATTTGGGGCCTGGCAGGTCTACTGGGGCTGGAGGAGCCCTGGTGGCTTCACTCACACGTCTGCTGCCGCAGCTGGAATAAGTGGAACATCTGAGCTGACTGCACCTCCCTCCTCACATTCTTTCATCGTCCTTCTCCACAGGGCTTCTCATACTCAGGGAGGCTAGCCTAGACCTCGTGGCTTCTCAAGCCAGCTAGACAGTGAAAGTGGCAGCTACAGAGCCCTAAACGCCCTAGCCCAGAATTTTCGTTGCTTTCTACTGGACTAAGAAAGTCATAGAGCAGCCAAAGTAAGAATGTAGAAAGTGACCACAGAAAAGTACAAACTCAGGAGTGTGACTGACTGAGGACCACTTTGTGGCAGTCTATCAACATATCTAGTATCTATGATTTCCATGGTCTTCATAGTTTGCAGAGGACATTTACTTGCACTAACTTAATTTTATCCCTATCCCTAAACAGATATGGATAGTGGTGTGCTGGTAAAACAACAAACAAATGAAATGCCCTCATTGGTAGCATTTGCTAATTTCCATGGTGTAAATATTCCTACTGTACCAAGTTCAAGAGACCAATATCGTATCACTCAGTGCAGAGGTGTGGACACGTTCAACAGCTGGCTCAACACACCTCTGCCTGCAATGGGGGCTAGTATCTCTACTTGCAAATGAGGTTATGGGACTTTTTCAAATTCACACACAATCAATAAGGGCAGATCTGAGACTCATCCAAGATCCAGATTGTATGCTTTGGTCACAACATCACCTTGCCTCAGAGCAATTTCCTTCAAACATCTGAAAGACTGCTATGGAGAAGGAGCTGCTAGGCTGTCCCAGAAGGTAAAGGAAGATTTTTTTTATTTTGTTTTGTTTTGGTTTGTTTGAGACAGTCTTGCTCTGTCACCCAGGCTGGAGTGCAGTGGCGCATTCTCAGCTCACTGTAAACTCTGCCTCCTGGGTTCAAGCAATTCTGCCTCAGCCTCCTGAATAGCTGGGATTACAGGCATACACCACCACACCTGGCTAATTTTTGTAATTTTTTTTAGTAGAGACAGGGTTTCACCATGTTGGCCAGGCTGGTCTTGAACTCCTGACCTTGTGATCTGCCTGCCTCAGCCTCCCAAAGTGCTGGGATTATAGTCATGAGCCACCATGCCCAACCTGTAATGTAAAGTAAGAGTAATACAAGTGAGTTTCAGAGAGGTTGACTTCAGTATAAGAAAGTTAGTATGAAAAGCAGTTCTACAATAATAGAGTAACGCAAAGAGAATGAATTGCTTTGTGGTCTCCCTATCATGAAGGTATCTGTCTGAGACCAGATCCCTGAAAATTTCGGAATCAACAAAGAGGTTAAATTAGATGGCCTCTAAAGTTCCATTTATCTCTTGGATTCTGGTTGTTTAAGAATATTTTGAAATCCAAATCCGGAATCACTTAATATCAAGTGAAGGGAAGAGAAAGGAAGCGAAGAAAGAGGGAAGGTGAGTGTTAAATTTTGGGAGGAGCTTGGCCAGATGAGAAGTCCCAGTCCTGGAGAGTTAGCTTTTCTGAGCAATTCAGGGATGGAACACGGGTCTTCACGAGGGTAACTAACTCAGGTCCAGCTCACAGAGCCCTATGACTCATAATATGAAAGCACAACCTTTATTTTATCCCAAGCCTGTTCAAATGACAACAGACGGCCCCAGTCTTGTGTCTGAAATGTTAGGATATTCTCAGGGTAGCAGGATGCAACTGCAGATCTTAGCTGGCTGTTTGGAAATCCTCTCTCTCCAAGCAGGCTCTTTATTTTTTTTCTCAGAAGGAAACCTTACTCAAGATTTTGGCAGTTAAGTCTCTTTGGCTCAACTAGAACCCAGCTTCTCCTACCCAATCCTGCCCCAGCTCAGTCTTAGGGGATCTGCTTGGGGTCCCTCAATCTCAGACACTCCCTGCTCAGCCCTGGGGGCTTCCTGGGCAGTTACGGATTATGGTGTCATAATGAGAACTGCAAAACTGGAAGCTTTCCTGAAGGAGCAGCTCAAAACTTGAGGATGAAATCTCAGCATTTGAGAATAAACACCCAGGATGTTTCCTGGGATGACTCAGGCGTCACCAAACATGCCAAGAAATTACACGGGTAATTGTAAGGCTTTGGTGCTTCCAGGGAATGCTTAAGATGGTTACTGAAGTAGATAACTCATCTCTGAGAACAAGCCATTCTCCTTAAAACCTGCAAATGTCCATGCATCTCCAGTTCTGAGGAGCTGGTATTTCCCCGTGTCGAACTCTCAGAAAGGAAGGTAAGTTGACTGAGTGAAGCCCTGCCTTTCTCTTTCAGCAGGCAGCTCCCAGAGGAGGAGGAGCCCATCAAAGATTTTCTGGCCTGGCATGGTGGCTCCTGTCTGTAATCCCAGCACTTTGGGAGGCCCAAGTGGGAGGATCGCTTGAGCCGGCAGTTCAACGCCAGCCTGGGCAACATAACGAGACCCTATCTCTAAAAAAAAATTTTTTTTAATTAGCCAAGCATGGTGGTGTACAACTATAGTCCCAGCTACTCAGAAGGCTAAAGTGGGAGGATGGCTTGAGCCCAGAATTTTGAGGCTGCAATGAGTATGATTATATCACTGCACTCCAGCCTGATCAACACAGCAAGACCCTGTCTCCAAGAAAAAAAATTCTAAGGGCACTTTAACATGGAGGTTCCCTGGTGCCCATTGGATAATATACTCCATGAGGTCTAGCAGATCCTAGTTACCAGTGGGTAGAAGGATGTGGAAGGGTTGGGAGGATGTGAAATAAGAAGCAATGATGCTCTCAAGAACTGTTCGGGTGCTAGAGGTTGCTAGGATGACTGTACTCCACTCTGAAAAACATTCAGGCCATTAGGAAGCCCCATCATTTTATACACAATCCCGTGCCAGCTCTGTAGAGCAGAAGCGCCCTCTCCCCAGGCTCGGTGTGCCCTCACCTATTTCTGTTTGCTTGTGCACAGAAATAGATCTGGAAACCTCAGGGAACAGGGCAAGACCTATTAAATTAGAGCTCACCGTTCCCATTTCCTTATTCAGCAAATGGCAGGACTTAGGCATCCAGCCTGGTCCTGCAGCTATGAAATCCACAAGGCCTGGGGCATGGGGCAGGCTCAGGGCTCAGGGCTCAGGGCTCAGGGCTCAGGGCTCAGGGCTCAGGCCTCAGGCTGCTTCATGGGGCTCAAGTTTCTCTCTTCTTACTTTTCCCCTTCTTCCTTCCTCTCCTTAACAACTTCTAATTGCAAATACCCCAGACTTTGGAAAACTTACAGAGCATGCTCGTCCAAATACCTGACTTTACAGGCAAGGCCCAGAGATGCTGACTTTTGAAAGACACTCATCCTGTTAACAGAAGAGCTATTCATTCATTAGCCAGATCATCCACTAACGTTTTCGTTAAATGACACTCTCCCTCGCGTTGTCTCCTTTCTGAAACAGGCCTCTAAGATGTCCCCCAAGATCCCTGCCTCCTGGAATTCACACCCTTGCACAGCCTATGACGTCAGTATTATTCTGTGACCAAAAGAATATAGCAGCAATGACAGTAAGTCACTCCTGAGATTAGGTTATAAAGGACTATGGCTTCTGTCAAGGGCTTTCTCTCTTTCTCTTTCTCTCTCTTTCTCTTGGATCACTCTGGGAGAAACCAGCAGTCATGTTATGAGACACTCAGGCAGGCTGTGGGAGGCTCAGGCTGTGAGGAACAGATGTCTCTGGCTAACAGCCAGCATGGAGGTAAGGCCTGCCAACAACCGCATGACTGAGCTTGCAAGCAGGTCCTTCCCCAATTGAGCCTTCAGATGACGCCAGCTCCAGCCAGCAGCTTAACTGCAACTGTGTGAGAGACCATGAAGCAGAACTGCCAACTAAGCCCCAGATTCCTAAACCACAGAAACTGTGAAATCATAAATGGTTGTTGTTTTAAGTTGCTTAGTTTAAGAATAATTTGTTATGTAGAAATAGAGAAAACACTGGGTTTTTTCCTGGGCTTTTTTTTTCTACTCAAAAAAGAAATCCCTGCATCCACCATAACCAGCTTAGAAGGCCTTGTCCTACACCACTTTCAGGAGGGAAACTGGTAAATCAGAATAAAGAAAGCTTCCCAGGAGGCCTGAGGACATTGGCACAAGACCAAGTGATCTTTCCAGGCCTAAGGGAGAGAATTCCAGTTGGTGGGCTGCTAGAATATACCAGCTTCCTTTATAGAAGTTGTGGCCAGTGCAAATGTTAACGCAGTAAGATGTGTAACGTAAGAGCCTTATGACACTTTTAGAAATGGAGTTCCTCATTGGTGGCTATTCTGTAACTTAAGGGGAATAAGTTGACTTCCCATGATTGTGGCTTCCCAGTTGGGATGGAATTTCCATACGATGTTTTCAGAGGCTGCAGTAACGGTAGGCCCTGCACTTACTATGTCCTCCCCACCCCTGCCCATCCCCACGTTGGTCCAGCCCTGTTTGCCCACACACGCCTCCAAAGAGGAAGCTCTTTGAAAAGTGCCTGTGAAGAAAGCATTCTACAGATGTATACATTCCACTGAACACTGTCACACGTGCTCTTTCTGACAGGCTTAGTCATTGGAGGGTCCAGAGCTGCAGGGTCCTTGAGCAACATCCTCTATCCTGCTCGTCTATGTGCCCTAAGTTGAGCTCTGTCTTGTTTTCTCTGCAGAAAACCTGTAACTAGAAGCAAAACTCGGCCTTTCCAATGCCCAGCATCTGCTTCCTAAAATACAGCTAAACTAGGTTAATGCTTTTCTTCTTGACCTTGAAGTGTAGATTCAGAGCCTTTGGGAACCTTCACAGCTTCTTATTTTAAATATCCAACAAGAATACAGCTTCACCTTCCTTTTAGTGGGGGATGTCAGTTGAATATCCTGGGACCAGACACAACAGAGAGGTAGCACCCACTGGACCACTCAGGCTAGGTGGAGACAGTGAGAGCTGCTTAGGCGTCCACTCAGCGATGCCAGTGTGTCTTACTATACAAAGCAATGCAGAGTTAATTTCACACAGCTGGGGGAGGACTGGAGGCGCTTTTGGGGCCTATTGGGTGTGAGCCAGTAACCTCATCTCTCCAGCTGTTCCTTGGTCTCCTAAAGGAGACAAGGAAGTAAAAGAAAACGAAGAAGTTGGAGCCAGAAGTCAGTTTCTGCCAACAGGAACAATGGGTGTAATTGTGCATCTCACATAGCAGCAAGGAACATTAAACAGAATTATGTACACACTGTTACTACCATGAGAACCTTGCCATGGGAACTTCTGGATGTACTTTTTTGGAATCCAGGGGATCTGGGAAGACCATTCCAGAAAAAGAGATTTCATAGAAACATCAGGGAGGTGCCAGTTCTTGGATAACCTCTCCAAGCAAGAAAAAACCCAAATAAATACGTGTATTAGGAGTTTCAAAAGCAACGCAGACCTTTCTTAATGCAAAAGCCCTGCTTTCCCCTTAATATTAAAGATAGTCTTGATCTTGTTTCTGGGAAGCTTCCAAGGACAGAGGCTACACTGTGACCAAACTCACAGGAAAGAGACCCTCAGAGCTGGGAAATGATCACTTCAAGTGGTTTCTCTCCCCTTGCCTTGAACTGCATTCAAGGTAAACCCTGTAAAATCTCCACATGGGGGACTTCTCCAAAGGAAGATGCAGGTGGAATCCCAAAGGTAATGTGGTGGTAAGAGTCCTGCTTCAGTCACTTGAGCTGTTCACCTCAAGAGAGTTCCCTTGCTTCTCCGATCTTCTGTTTCATCTTCTCTACAATGGAGATGACATCTACCTCATGGATTTTTTTTGTGTGATTTTTTTTCCTTCTTTTATACTTAATTTTATTTTTCAAAAATAGAGATGGGGTCTATGTTACCCAGGCTGCCCTTGAACTCCTGGGCTTAAACAATCTGCCCACTTCAGCCTCTCAAAGTGCTGGGATTACAGGCAGGAGCCACCATGCACTGCCTTTTTGGGTGAAATTTTAACAAGAGTATGAATAAGGTTTGAACATTGAAAAAATAAATAATCTTTGAGTTGCATTTAGTTGTTGCATTAAGAACCTAAGGGAGCTTTGCCCTGTGCCCTGGGCCATGTGAGCCCTCGTCCTGGACCTGGCTAGCAGGCTGCTCTACCAGGGGACGGGTGATCTGTCCAGTGAGCTCAGATGGCAGAACAACCCATCCCAGGGTCTGTGACATTGGAGTGATGCCATTGGAAGACCTTTTTTTTTTTTTTTTTTTGAGACAGAGTTTTTCTCTTGTTGCCCAGGCTGGAGTGCAATGGCACAGTCTCAGCTCACTACAACCTCCACCTCTTGGGTTGAAGCAATTCTCCTGTCTCAAGCCTCCCGAATAGCTGGAATTACAGGTGCCCACCACCATGCCCAGCTAATATTTGTATTTGTAGGAGAGTCGGGGTTTTACCTTGTTGGCCAGGCTGGTCTTGAATTCCTGACCTCAGGTGATCCACCTGCCTCAGCCTCCCAAAGTGCTGGGATTACAGGTGTGAGCCAGAAGATCTTTGTTTTTATTATCTCCTCTTCCTTCTGTCCATCTAGTATTGAGGGTCCTCTTCCCGGCCTTCCTCCTCAAGTGTGGTGTCTGTGCTCCATTTCTCACAACCTGTTCGTATATATTTACAAACCAAAACACAGTTGCCTTAGTCTACCTCACCCAGACCTCTTTCTCTAGCCCTGAGCCCAATCCCAAGTGCCTGCGGGAAATCACTAGCTACGTGACCAACCCACCACTGGTTCCATTTGTCCAAAAGCAAACCTTCCCCTCAATGTGGTTCCAACTCCCAACTATGACCAGCTAGTAAACAAGGAATTTTTTTAATTTTTTACTCTCCTTCATTCCCTATTTCAACCTTTTCTGGACTGAATTGTCCCTCCAAAATGCGTATGTTGAAGCCCTCACCCTCAATGTGACTATATTTAGAGACAGTAACTTTAAGGGAATAAGTAAGGTTAAGTGAGGTCATAAGGTCAGTGGATCCGTGTCCTAATCTGATGGGACTGGCATCACTTTAAAAAAAAAAAAAAAAAAACTATTTATTTTGAGGCAGGGTCTTGCTCTGTCATGAAGGCTGGAGTGTAGTGTCACCATCTCGGCTCACTTCAACCTCCACCTCTTGGGTTCAAACAATTCTCCTGCCTCAGCCTCCCCAGTAGCTGGAGCTAAAGACATGTGCCACCACGGCTGGTGGCTTTTTATTTTTTGTAGAGACAGGGTTTCACTACGTTGCCCAGGCTGATCTTGAACGCCAGGTCTCAAGTGATCCTCCCACCTCAGCCTCCCAAAGTGTTGAGATTATAGGTGTGAGCACGGCACCCGGCCAGGACTTACATCCTTATAAGAGGAGGAAGAGAGGCCCAAAACCTGTCTCTCTCTTTCTTTGTACACACAGAGGAAAGGCCATGTGAAGTCACAGCAAGATGGTGGCCGTATACAAGCCAGGAAGAGAGAACTCACCAGAAACTCACGCTGCCAACAGCGTCTTGATCTTAGACGTCCAGCTCTCTGGACTGTGAGAAAATAAGTGTCTGTTTTCCAAGCCACCCGATCTATAGCATTTTATGATGGCAGCTTATACTAGTCCATTTTCACTCTGCTGATAAAGGTATGCCCAAGACTGGGCAATTTACAAAAGAAAGAGGCTTAATGGACTTAATAGTTCCATGTGGCTGGGGAGGCCTCAAAACTATGGCAGAAGGTGAAAGGCAGACAAGAAAAGAGAGTTTGTGCCGGGAAACTCCCCTTTGTAAAAACCATCAGATCTCATGCAACTTACTCACTATCACAAGAACAGCATGGGAAAGACCTGCCCCTATGATTCAATCACCCCTGACCAGGTCTCCCCACAATGTGTGAGAATTCAAGATGAGATTTGGGTGGGGACACAGCCAAACCATAATCACAGCTCAAGCAGGATAACACACAACCTGTTACCAAAACCGGCTACATCTTCCTTTACAATCGCTCTCAGAGTCTCCTCCTCCTTTCCAGATCTTCTCTTGTGGCCTGCCTCATGTCTTTCTTCCCTGACACATGGATTTCTGGTCCCAGTTAACATTCCCGCTTCACTGCCATCCTTCTCTCCCATTTATCTGATATTCTAAAAACAAAATGACAAAACGTCTTCCTTGTCTCCGTCAGGATAGGCTAGGTTATGCTGCATAACAAATGACCCCAAAATCTCAGGGGTTTCACACAACAAAGGTTGATCTATTTGCATCACATATCCATCATGGACTGTCGCAACTGAGCTCTGGCTCGGCCCAAGGTTGTTTCCATTCTGGGACCCAAGCGGATGGAGCAGTCCCTATGTGGGACTGCATTGTTCTCATGGCAGAGGAAACAGAGTCATGCAATGGTTATGAAAGCTTTTGTCTAAAAATGACACACGTCCCTTCCACTCACATTTCATTGGTAAAAGTTTCACACTTCCAAGTGTGATATCATCTGGGTAGGCATGTAGAATCTTTCCATGCGAAAGGGAAACAAATAATTTTGAAAACTGCAACAGTCTACCACCATAGCCATTCCTGCATGTCAGCTTCCTCTTCTCTCCTATGACTTGAAATAGGATCACTGTTTGTGTTGTGTTGAAATGCTGGCATCTCACCGCCCTATGAAGTGTACTCTCTCCAGCTCAGTGCAATTCTCTTTCTATGACCTTTAGTTGAGTTTGTCATCAGGAACCCCCATCTGGGAGTTGTTTTAGGTGTCTAACTGCCCAGATCCCATTAGGTGATCTTGTGATTACTCCCGACCACATCTGACCGGACTGTCAGGAGGGACAAGTGACCAAGGATTGCTAAAACACAGGTTCACAGAGGCCTAGGAGCTGGGCCAATCAGAGCCTCTCCTGGGAATCAGAACTACCAAATACAGAAAGAATGAGCTACTTAGGGTAGGAGTTGAAGCTGAAAGGATGTCTAGAGGTAGAGCCAGGATCCTGGCTGGTGAAGTCACATGTAAGTTTGAGATTAGGAGAGAACAGGAACTGAATGAACAGAGGAAGCATCATTAGAGACAGGAGCAGGGCAGATGCACAGAGAGAGCAGGGATCCTGAGGGAGGGGTGAGACGGAGAGGCCTCCCCAGGCCTCGGAGCTGTCTCCATGACAACACCAAACCCGGGCACTCCTACATTAAATCCCTCCTTCCTTGATGCAAGTGGAGGGGTCTCTGTCCTTATGATCAGCAAATCCTCAGTAAAGCCACTTTCAGTTTAGAGAAACCTCAGTTGTCCACTTGCTTCACATAGAGTTTGACTTTCCCATTCAGACTTTAGGCTCCTAAAAAGTAAGGCTCATGTTTGTATTCTCCATGAGCCTACCACAGCACAGACCCCAGTAAATGACCTGAAACTGGTTTACCATCAATTTCATGTACTTTTTTTTTTTTTGAGACAGGGTCTCGCTCTGTTGTCCAGGCTGGATTGAAGTGGTGTGATCTCGGCTCACTGCAACCTCCACCTCCTGGGTTCAAGCAATTCTTCTGCCTCAGCCTACTGAGTATCTGGGATTACAGGTGCACACCACCATGCCTGGCTAATTTTTGTATTTTTTCAGTAGAGATGGGGTTTCGCCATGTTGGCCAGGCTGGTCTCAAACTCCTGACCTCAAGTGATCCTCCTGCATCGGCCACCCAAAGTGCTGGGATTACAGGTGTGAACCACCACACCCAGCCCAATTGCAGGTACTTTTGCATTACTATGCAAAATAATGTCATCATCCTTTTTGTTACCAAGTCTAGAAAATCAACTCAAAGCATTTTTATTATTGAACAAGCAAAAGAGAAAATGCAAATGTCCTCACCCAGAAAACCGTCTCTATGCTGACTTAGCACAAATTTCGGGGACCTCTGTAACTGATGTGGTATGGATTGTGGGCATGGAGTGGACTTTTCAGAATTGCTGTAGCCCAGGCTCCAAGCCTCTTGTTCAAGTTCCCCAGGGTAAATTGCCAGGCCTCAAACACAGCCTCTTAAAAATGGGGTTAAAATAGTCAAAATGAAGAACTGTTATGGAACAAGTGGCACAGATGCTTAGTAGCAACTGAGTCTTCATTTCTGCCTAACAAAATGCCCCATGTAGGCTGGGCATAGTGGCTCACATGTGTAATCCAAGCCACCCGATCTATAGCATTTTATGGGCAATTTACAAAAGATTACACATGTGTAATCCCAGCACTTTGGGAGGCCAAGGCGGGATGACTGCTTGACCCCAGGAGTTCGAAACCAGCCTAGGCTACATAGTAAAACCCCGTCTCTACAATAGTTTTAAAAATTAGCCAGGTGTAGTGGTGCACACCTGTGGTCCTAACTACTCAGGAGGCTTAGGTGAGAGTATCACCTGAGCCTCTGGGTAAGGCTGCTGTGAGCTGTGATTGTGCCATGTACTCCAGGCTGGGAGACAGAGTGAGACCCTGTCTGAAAAATAAAATGACCCATATGCTCAAAGCAGCCTTAGCTTAGCCCCTAGAGATGTGAGATGGGTAAAGCAGGCAGGGGGAGGAGTGGACTGTGGCAGCTTGGCCCGGCTTCTGCAGAGCCTGTGGATGTCCTTTGGCCTTTTCCCCATCCCTGTGGACTCCTAATTCCCCAAGCAGAAACCAAGCAGTGGGTGAGGTGGGGGGAACCCAGGCAGGAAAGATCACATACGAAGTTTCTTCACGTGTGCATTTGTGCACATGCAAGCATTATTCAACAGACAAAGGCTTTAGCTGGGGTCTGCAAAGACTGTTCACAGTTGAAGAATGCCTACCCATTTAGACATTTAGATTTTCTGCCAGGAAAAGGAAACAAAAAAGATTAGATGGATGGATGGATAGATAGATGATAAATAGATATGGATGATTGATAGATAGAAGATAGGTATCCATACAGATAGATGATAGTTCATAGATAGATAGATCGATCATAGATAGATAGATAGATCATAGATAGATGATAGATATATAGATAGATATAAATAGATAGATAGATAGATAGATAGATAGACAGACAGACAGACAGATAGATAGATACCCAGACAGACCTTGCCAGTCAGTGTTAGTCATGTTTTCTGGGAAGTAGTCTTGCTTAACATGACTCCCAGGAAGTGATTAGAAAAGGCCTTTCTGAAGGATTTGGTCTCTGTCAGTATCCACTGGTTGCCTGCAGGTGGGGAGAGGATTCCTTGAGCTCATCTACTGAGGGAAATATCCAGGGGAGACTTCTGGCCCAGGCAGGCCAGGCAAGAGTTCCAGAAAATGAGCAGTGATAGACACAGGGTTAATACACACACACACACACACACACACACACACACACACACAGAGAGAGAGAGAGAGAGAGAGAGAGAGAGAGAGAGACAGGCAAACAACATGGCCTGGAAATGGCTTTCACTCAGCACATCAATCTCAGTCAGGAACTACTGTGTCCAACACAGGATCTTGTGGACTGAGCCCAACTTCCAGCTCATGTACTTAAAGATGCAGTGGTTAAATGTGTGGACTCTGGAGGAAGCCTGTTTGGATACAGATTCCACCTTTTCAGTTGGGTGCAGTGGCTCACACCTGTAATTCCAGCACTTTGGGAGGCTGAAGTGAGAGGATTGCTTGAAGTCAGGAGTTCAAGACCAGTCTGGGCAATATAGTGAGACCCCAGCTCTATACAAATAAAGAAAAAATCCCAAATCTCACCTTCTCTACTTATTAGCTGCTAACTCTGAGTAAGTTCCTTAACCTCTCTGTGCCTCAGTTTCCTCAACCATCACAACAATTAAAGGAGTTAGAATATTAAAGCACTTTGAATAGTTCTGATACATTAGTAAGCACTGCTTATATAGTTGTTACGGGTGCAAACAACAGCCTTTCTGAAAGAGAAACATCCGATGCTTGAAGGGATGCAGCCTTTGAGACCATGAGGCTGCTTGTGCTTCTTCTTCACTTTCCATCAGCTACAGAAAAATATGGGAGGCCAGCTTCTCCCCAGGTCTTCACATCCCTATGTGAGGCTGCAGGGAAATTGCATGAGACCAGAGACTGTCACCAAACTCCTCTGTTCTTTGGTACTTGAAGGACCTTGCCTGAGCTTGCTAGGGCAACCCCAATGAGGTATAACAAACTAGGTGACATAACCAAAGAAATTTGTCTTCTCAGAGTTCTAGAGGCTGGAAGGCCAAGTTCAAGGTGTCGGCAGGGCTGGGTCCTCTGAGGGCTGAGTGGAAGAATCTGTTGATGCCTGTCCCTGCTTCTGGTGCTTTGCTGGCAATCTCTGGTGTGCCTTAGCTTGTAGAAGCATCACCCCGACCTCTGTCTTCCTCTTCACATGCTGTTCTCACTGTGGGTGTGTCTGTCCCCAAATTTCCACTTTTCATAAGGACAGGAGTTAGATTAGATTAGAGCTGACCTTAATGATCACATTTTAACTTGATTACCTCTGTAAAGACTATCTCCAAATACGGCTATACTCTGAGGTACTTGGGTTTAAGCCTTCGACCTTTTTTTGAGGTGGTGGGGACAAAATCCTATCCATCCCTGGCCTCACCTCACCCATAGCCAGCATGATGAGGCCGGCAATCACCCCAGACAGCCCAAAGGTTTGTAACTAAACATGCTGACCTTCTCCCCCTGACTCTTGATATCTTGCATTTGGTTAGCCAGAGACTGAGGAAACAGATCCATTAAATTCTGCATAGCTTGAAAAACCCAAGGCAGGGCCAGGCTCAATGGCTCACACCTGTAATCCCAGCACTTTGGGAGGCTGACGTGGGCGTATCACAAGGTCAGGAGTTCAAGACCAGCCTGACCAACATGGTGAAACCCCATCTCTATTTTTAAAAAGTACAAAAACTAGCCAGGTGTGGTGGTGTGCACCTGTAATCCCAGCTACTCAGGAGGCTGAGGCAGGAGAATCACTTGAATCTGGGAGGTGAAGGTTGCAGTGAGCCAAGACCATGCCACTGCACTCCAGCCTGGCCAACAGAGCAAGACTCCATCTCAAAAAAAGAAAAAGAAAAACCCAAGGCAGGACAGTTAAATTAAAGCACCTTTCATCATTCTTGTGGTTTCTCTAAATGGGTGCCCTTTTTCCAGCTCTGCCTGAGTATTCTAACTCTCCACACTTTCTTGGGAAGGGTACGCAGGGGCAGGACAGACTAGTTGCTTCGCTGGACTTTTGTGATTCCAGCAGGACTCTTGGCAGGACAGCCACTGAGGGAAAGTAGCAAAGGTTTGGAGCATCCTTGGGCCTGGAGCCTCATTCATTCTTGGAGGCCCAAGCACCGAGGGCAGGCCTAGCTCTGGTGTGGGAGTCAGGAAAGAGAGGAGGTGCAGGGCTGAGGGGAGGATAGGGGATCAAGAAGGTGAATCAGAGGCTGGGAAAATAGATATCACTGTAATCACAGACTTTTCTATAAAATAGGTAATTTATGTGTAGGGCAGAACAATGGTCTTTTCATGAAGCTGAAAAGAAGCTGTGCATAGTAGTTAGGATTATATTTGGCTGTGTATGACAGCGTCATATGCAGTTGGGTGTCACTCCCAGGCCCTAAAGGTAAAGGAAGAAAATGTCAAAATAATAGGTGCTTTTAAAAAATTGATTTTTATTTCTCCCTTTCGTAAAAGAAGTTGGGAACTAGGCAATCCAGGGTTAGTATGGCAGCCCCGTGGCCATCAGGGAATAAGGCTCCATGTAATATGCTGACCCTCCAACCTCAGCCTGTCTCCTCATAGTCCCTGATGGCTTTTCAGCCTCCAGCTAGGTACCAGGTAGCAGGAAAGAGCCTTCTCGGAGGCCCCACTCATCACCTCTGCTGACATCTCATTGGCCAGAACATAGAAGGTGGCCACATAATCTTTTCTCTGGGTAGCTACATACAGAGCAAACACTGGGGCCTTGTTATTAACGAAAAGACAAAAAGTTGGAGGCCCACAGGGGTCTCCACCACATTGTATACGAACGCAAGACAGTTTCTACCTAAATTTCCAAATATATCCTCAGGAAGAGAATGTTTCTGAAGCATAAATACTTTGTGCATTGGAGGATCTTCCCTTCCAGCCTTCAATTGCACTGCAGGTGAACCACCCCTCAGGTTCTCAGCTTCAACCTCACTTCCTCGAGGAACCCTCCCCAGATCCCTCAGTCTGTATTAGGCTTCCCTGTTTTATGCTCCAATTGCACTTTATGCTTCGGCTTCAAAGGCCTTGCACCCTGGTCATGATTGACTCATCTGGAATTATGTGTGTAAGGGCTGTCTTGCTTGTAATTTAAACTATAAGCTTCCTGAGGGCAGAAACTCTGCTTCACCCTCCACTGTCTCCCAATGTATGGCACCTAGTAGGCCCTCAATAAGTATTTGTTGAGTGATTAGAATATTAGAGAGATCCCAGATTCAAAGCCATTCCACTGAGACCTTTTCTTTCTTTTTTTTTTTGAGATGGAGTTTTGCTCTTATTGCCCAGGCTGGAGTGCAATGGCATGATCTTAGCTCACCGCAACCTCCACCTTCCAGTTTCAGGGGATTCTCCTACCTCAGCCTCCCGAGCAGCTGGGATTACAGGCACACGCCACCACACCTGGCTAGTTTTCATATTTTTAGTAGAGACCGGGTTTCTCCATGTTGGTCAGGCTGGTCTCGAACTCCCGACCTCAGGCCATCTGCCCGCCTTGGCCTTCCTAAGTATTGGGATTACAGGCATGAGCTACTACGCTCAGCCAACCTTTTCCTTCTTTTCTTTTTTTTTTTTTTTGAGACAGAGTTTTGCTCTCGTTACCCAGGCTGGAGTGCAATGGCGCAATCTTGGCTCATCGCTACCTCTGCCTCCTGGGTTCAGGCAATTCTCCTGCCTCAGCCTCCCGAGTAGCTGGGATTACAGGCGCGCACCACCACACCCAGCTAATTTTTTTGTATTTTTAGTAGAGACGGGGTTTCACCATGTTGACCAGGATGGTCTCGATCTCTTGACCTCGTGATCCACCGGCCTCGGCCTCCCAAAGTGCTGGGATTACAGGCTTGAGCCACCGTGCCCAGCCCCTTTTCTTTCTTTAACTAGACTTTCCTGGCTGAGACCAGGGCAAAACCAGATTCCCCTGTGCTGTGCCCCCCTCCATGGGAGGGCTGTGGACTGGGCTGTCAGACCAGGTTCTCCAGGAGGACTCCCACACTCACGGCCAACTCCACTTTACAAAACCAGCTCCAGCCAGAAGTATGCCCGGGGGGCAGGAGAACAGAAACTGCAGCAGTGTGGGTGGATTTTAAATCTGCAAATGCAACTGGCTGCCCAATGTTTGGGAGATAAAGTAGGTCACCATCCTCCCCTTGGTTTGGCGTCCCTCCCAAGCCCTAAAGGGGAAGGAAGAGTTTTGTGATCTTTGCTGTCTCAGACTATGGGCAAATTTGGCTACGCTCAGCTTTACAAGAGCTGCCTGCCCACCTGACTCTTGTTCACAAGACCCCTAAAAATCAGAAAAAAGGTCAGTCCCAGCTGTTCAGGGTTTGGTTGTTGGATGGGGAATCCTCCTGAGGACAGCTTTTAAGACAGTCCATTTTGACACCAGCTGAGACAAAAGGCAGGACCCAGAGTCCAGACAGCTCCCAAGCCCACCGTTTTCAACTTGGCCCGTTAGGATGGAGCTTTCTGTTCTCTGACGATGGATGACAGGATTTTTTTATTTTTTATTTTTTGATACAGAGTCTTGCTCTGTCGCCCAGGCTGGAGTGCAGTGGTGTGATCTCGGCTCACTGAAAGCTCCGCTTCCCGGATTCAAGCAATTCTCCTGCCTCATCCTCCTGAGTAGCTGGGATTATAGGCGTGGGCCACCATGCCCAGCTAATTTTTTTGTACTTTTACAAAATAGTAAAAGTAGAGACATGGTTTCACCATGTTGGCCAGGATGATCTCAATCTCTTGACCTCGTGATCTGCCCACTTCAGCCTCCCAAAGTCCTGGGATTACAGGCAGGAGCCACCGCACCCAGCTAGATGACAGACTTTTAAAGGAGACAGTGAGAAAGAGCAAGCCCTGGAGAGAGTCCTGTGAGGCCTTGGGGTAAGGGTTCCAGGACTGTTCATGAGAAGCTATGCGTGTCTCTCTCCAACTTCCCCAGATGAGACACCAAGATTGAGAAGTGAAGACTCATCTCCAATTTGGCCGACATCCCGACCCCCCACACTCATCATTCTGATATTTAGTCATTACCATCCTGGCATACTTTAACCACTTCTCCTTCTGACTGAGAATCTGAAAGTGATATTCAGCCTGGGCGTGATGTGGGGGCTTTCTGGGACAGGGAAGAGATGACGAGGTGCTGGCATTGCATGAGCTGATTATTATGGTCAAGACTTGTGAACCAGTTGTGAAACCCTTGGTAACCAGAAATCTGCCATGGTGGGAGTATTTACACTACAGAAATTGGCCAGTGCTGCAAATCAGGGTTTCTTTCTTTTTATCAACGAGACACTTTACCAGCACACACCGCATTACTCACACAGGAGGAGCTCTGGGAGGGGTGGAGAAGACCATGCGTGAGCCGAGTTAAGGATGTCTGGTGCTTCCCCGACAGCTCCATCATGTCATCTTTCTTGGCTCTTCACAGTCAGCATTTTCTCTGTGGAAACACCAACAGATTCCACTTCTGCTCCATCAGCAAACAAGGAAATCATTGACTTTCCTGGCCCCTGTGCTAGAGGACTCAGAGAACCCAACCTCCTAGAGCAGCAGGCCCACCTTCTCTCTCTAGAGAGAAGGAAAAGCCAGGGAGGAGCATTTAACAGCAACAACTCTGAAAAAGCAGATAGAGGCAGCCCGATGATCAAAGGTGTCTTCCTTCAAATCCCGATTGAAAACCGCAATCCACGCTTGCCAATGAAGGCCACAGGTGATGTTTCTTATGTGAGTGCATTCCTCTGCTTCAGATTGTATTTTCAGAGGTCATACAAGGTTGAAAGGAAGCAAATCAATTTCATGAGAAGGATAATAAATGAGACCAGGATTGGTATTGAGAGAAGTTTTTAGACATTTCTGCGCTGGCCAACCTGGGGAAGGAAATGCTTCTAGATACCCAGATTTCCAGGACTTTCCCTGAGAGGGTTAGATTCTGGAGGCCTGCAGAGCGGGCCAAGACCTGTATTTTTAACAGTCCCTTCCTCACCCCATGATTCTGCTGATGGCAGCCTGTGGACCGCACTTTGAGTAACTGGTTCTAGAGAGGGTCCTTGGAGAGCGTTTTGCATGCAGTGGGTGGAACTCACCTCCCAGTGGGATCCTCCTTCAGTACCCAGGCCCTGCCCAGCCAGGGCTGTGGGTCTTAGGACTCATCCTTGAGGAGAGGTGCTGGGTGTTACGGGAACAGCAGCATAAAAACACAAAATAGCATTCCATCTCTCACCACCAGTGGCGAAAAATGGGCATGGAGCCTGGAACAGCAGTCGTGGGGCTCCAAGAGGAGCAGCTGGGATGCCATTGCACAACCAGCCACCTCTAAGAGAAGCAGGACCAGCCCCAGGGCTGAACCTCCAGAATCGCTGCCGCCAGCCGCCAGCCGCCAGCCGCCCTTCCTCCCTGGGAGAGCCAAAAAGAGAAGCATCGTGAAGGCCTGCATGGTGGCCTCTACCAACACGAAGGCCCCTCCTCTCCCTCTGCCGCAGCCACCCTATCCTACCTGCAGCCAGAATGTCCCAGGGCCAAGCTGAAGACAGGGCAGGCTTTCCAGAATCCCTGCCCTTAGGGGCCCTGCCAGGGATTGGTTTTTCTTGTTGGAGGTACCTCTTAACGTTTGCATTTATAAGGCCTGATGAAACTCATCTCAAGAATCTAAGCTCACTTGCAAAGACGGGATCGAGAAGAGGCATGGCATTCCACAGATGGGCTCACTCTGGAGAGGAGCTACTGACCCAGCAGCAGGTCCCCCTCCCTCACCCCTGAATTCCCCTCCCTCACCCCTGCTCACCAGCCCCAAGAGGACATCTGACTCCCATCAAATAGTCCCTGCCAAGGGCATCGTGATAACGCAGGGATAGAGAGGATGCCAAGTTGCCCCTCTGCCCATTGGACCCCATCTCATCTGCGGAGAATTCCGTGGAAGCCCCTTCTGGGCTGTGCTCTTTATGTCTCTAAGCCACTTCCTATTTCCTTTTCTAGGTGGTATGTAAGTCAGGCTTATAGTTGGTGTGAGTCACTTCTCTAAGAAGCCCAGAGCACATGGCTGCCCCTCAGGGAGGGAGTAAACCACACAGCTTAGAAATGCAAGGCGTTGGTTTGCTCCTAAAAACACAGATTTCCCTAGGCTTTTAGCAATGCTGTGTGCCCTGGCCCCCACACCAGGCATGCCTGGGAAATCCATGATTTGCCCAGTTTGCGTTCCTCTGCTGATACCCAGCTTTCAGTTCCCAGGAGGCCCTAGACAAGTATACCTTTTGCAAAGAAAACCTTGCTTTGACAAGGGGCTAGGCCTGTCAATCATCAGGCAACAGCCAGCAGGCCCTGGGAAAGTCATGGCCAAGAAGCCATTCAAAAACATTCTCTTCTAATAAGTAAATTTCAAAACCAGGAGGAAACCACAGCTCAGATATCGGCTGATGTTCAGCAACCTGGATTCACAGAGAAACAGTCAAGAACAGATTTTGCACAAGTCTATTACTTTCCCTTCATAACATCTAGGCAGTTTCCTCCTCCTGACTTCCACTACTCACAGCGCAAGGATTATTCTGTGGAAACCTGAGTACTAAGGACGAGGTGCTGGATGATTTGGTTGAAGTCAATGTGCCAAGTCAGCACCAAGTGGCTATTTTTACCTTCCAATTCCATTCCCTGTACTTATTTTCTGTGGAAAGCTCTAATCTCTTCCCCAGGCTTCTGAGTGGGTTCTGCATTCAGGGATGATACTAGGGCAGGAGACCTGAAGGGTCTTGATTTGCTGACACCCACATAAAACACTTTCTGCAGCAGGGAAGGGAAGGGGAGAGGAAAGAACAGGCAGAGAAAGGCACAGAAACTAAGATCAGCCTAGGATGATGGTAGCTGTCCTGAAAACAATCAGAAATCCAGAGTCCTGACTCTAGCAAGTATGGTTTTGATCCTAGTGAGATAATCTTCAAAGAGAAAAACAGGAACTCTAGTCATGCAGAGAAGTAGCATTGTTCCATGCAGATCTATAAAAAACAACAGAAAGAGTGTCATCCTCTTAATTATTGAGGGAAACAGGAAATAGGAATCCTCATACCCTGCTGGTGGAAATATGAACTGGAAAAACTGAGGCAGGGAATCACTTGAGGTCAGGAGTTCGAGACCAGCTTGGCTAACATGGTGAAACCCCATCTCTACTAAAAACAAAACCCAAAAATTAGCTGGGTATGTTGGCTTGCACCCGTAATCCTAGCTATTTAGGAAGCTGAGGCGGGAGAATCGCTTGAACCCGGAAGGCAGAGGTTGTAGTGAGCCGAGATCGCACCACTGCACTCCAGCCTGGGCAACAGAATGAGACTCCATTTCTAAATAAATAAATAAAATAAACTGGAAAACGTTGCTGGTTGGCAACTCGGTAATATTTGAGGCAGAGACAATTCTTGTTCTGTGTCCATCACACTCTTGTTTTCCTCCTGGACTCATAGGAAGACTACACTTCGCAGCTCCCCTTGCAGTTAGGAGCAGTCATGTGACTGAGTTCTAGACAATCAGAAGGTGGGCAAAAGAAGTGATGCGAGTTACTGCCAGGCCTGACCCTGAAACTACCTGTGCAATTCTGCAGGCTCTTTCTTTCCCTTACCTATCAGCTGAAATCAGAGCATCCAGTAGAGAAGTCTAAGGCCCTGGCAAATGGAGACCCAGCATGTGGGCAAACTCTGGTTCCAGATGACAATGCAGAGTGCCCTCCACTCACAACGAATGACTGGTTTTGAACTGTGACATAAAAGAAAAATGTATCTTTATTGTGTTAAGCCACTGAGATTTGGGCTGTGTCTGTTGCAACATTTAGCCTATCCTGACTGATACACTATCACAAATCCTTTAAAAGGTCATAAGCTTTGACCTAGCAATTACATTATCTGAAACATATACTAAGGAAATAAATAAGAATAATCACCACAAATTATAAACAGACTGGGCATGGTGGCTCACACCTGTGATCCCAGCACTTTGGGAGGCAGAGATGGGAGGACTGATTGAGGCCAGGAGTTTGAGAATAGCCTGGTCAAAATAGCAAGATCCCATCTCTAATAAAATTTTTTTTTAAATTATAAACAATATTGATCTCCAATAATAGGCAATTTATTAAATAAATAATAATACAACTCTTCAAAGGAATATTTAGGCACTTAATACCACTTAACTGTATTTATCGACATGAAAACATTCCATGATTTAGTATTACATGAACTAGAGTAAGTAACAAGGCGACATGGATGGTACGAGCCCATAACTCTTTATATATGTACACGCATGCAAAGAAGAAAGCCTGGAAATATACCAAAAAACAGCAATTATTTCTGGTAGTAGGATTACAGGTGGCTTTAAAAAGTTCTCTCTTTTCTGAAGTTTTATGCTTTTTCTACAATGAGCGTATGTTTCTTTTCAGTAGAGAAGTCTAAGACCCTGCCCATCATGTGGGCAAACTCTGGTTCCAGATGAGATTTAAAAAACAATTTTTTTAAGTGGCCTGTTGGAAATGGATGGGTCTCCTTTGAACTTCAGAGCTGGCCTTACTCTCTCTAAGTGCTAAGTGTAATGGGTACAAAGAAAACCCAGGTCTCTTCCACACTCTTCTGGGCTAAAATCCCACCATTCATAAGGTTACATACCAATTTTATCTTCACCAGTGAAAGCAACTCTCAAGCCCTTCATTTATTTAGCTTCAGGGCTCAGTTCTACTGATGTAGTACTTGGGCTTTAAGGAAAGATGTACCTTTTTATCACAGTGTTTTTCAGGATTTCCTCAGAGTTGCTGGGCCTCAAAACTCTCTCCTTTTGAGTCCCAATGTGGATGATTTGGGAAACTGCAGGCACAGGTCCTCCCTCCCTTGAGATTGGCTGAGCGATGCAGACCACATCTACAGCGCAGAAAGGAGGGCAGGAAATCACACCACAGTCACTGCAGAGTAGACTTGGGAGCCCTAAACCCACTGTCCTGACCTATAAGATCAAAGAGTCTCATGTGATGTCTCCAAGTGAACTTTTAACAAAAAGCAGCGCTGCCAGTTTGTTTTGACCTTTCAAACACACGATCATGCCAACATTCAGTAGTAACTCCATTTTTTTTTCCTGCCAAATCTCCTCCTGGCCCTTTTCAACACATCCTCACACAAAGGGAACAAGCCACTGAGGTTTCCTGCTGAGGAAGTTTCTCTGGTGTTCTGTAAGGAAACCATATATTCCCAGAAACCATGTATGTTTTCTGGGTAGGACAGAACTACTTGAATTTAACTTGACGTCTTTTCAGCAAACCATGTACCCCTAAAATGAAGAAATGGAAGCTGTTTATTTTTCTTTTTTTGAGATGCAGTATTGCTCTTGTCCCCCAGGCTGGAGTGCAGTGGCATGATCTTGGCTCACTGCAACCTCTGCCTCCTGGGTTCAAGCTATTCTCCTGCCCCAGCCTCCTAAGTAGCTGAGATTACAGGCGCCTGCCACGATGCCTGGCTAAGTTTTGTATTTTTAGTAGAGACAGTGTTTCACCATGTTGGCCAGGCTAGTCTTGAATTCCTGACCTCAGGTGATCCACCCACCTCGGCCTCCGAAAGTTCTGGGATTACAGGCGTGAGCCACCGCACCTGGCCACAGGTGTTTATTTTCATCCCAACTCTTACTCTGCTGCATTGTTCCTGTGTACGTTTCTCTTACTCCACAGAGTAGGAGCTTCTTGAGGACCATGACAGTCATTTATTTCTCTCCCTGCCTGCTCCTGGCACTAGCAGGACCTCCTTCCTCTTAACAAAGTTTGCCGTGAGTGACTGAATGAATGAACTTTCCCCTATTTCCTTGTGGGTTTCAACCAGCACAGACTGCCTGCTTTTGTTCAAATGGGCCCTGTATTTTAAGGCTTTCTCCACACCTTTCCAAGCACTTAGCATAGCAGAAAGATCAGCTACATACATTGTAGGACCCACTGAAAAATGAAGATGCAGGGCCTCTTGTTAAAAAATTATTTGAAATGACAATCATTCAAAATTAATAAAAATTTTTAAACATCAAATTAGATAGTAAATGATTAAGAATGTCAAAGCTTTGCAGATAACAGCAGTGTAGGCGGGCCTGGTTGTCATCCACCACAGGGCTCAGCTGCCTGCTCCTGACCTCTGCTCAGAGTCATGGTCCAGCAGGGTGTTTACTCACTTGGGCCTACTCAGCCCCCGCCCTGCATCCTGTCACCAGAGTTTCATTTGGAGTCCTGAGCAAAGGTCTCCGATTGCTGATTCTACTGCCAACAGAAAACACTCTCCCCCTTCTAGATGTGTTGGCAGGAAAAGCAAATTTTTCTCTCTCCAGGCCAGCCAGAATCTTGAGGCCAGTTAACTTCCCCGGTGATCTTATCTGAGTCATCCTTCATTTCTGCCCCCAGTGAAACTGCATCTGCCCTCTGCTCAACTTTCAACCTAACTGAGGTGCCACGCCCACATCTCACCATCTTCCACTGAGGCCTTTCCTGATAACCTGTTTCTCTGGGTTGCCCTCTCTTGCCCTCAAGACCCCTGTTCAGTTGTGAACGCTCTCTCCATCCTATGCCTGCAGACTCTTCACTGAAATCTGTTTGCCCCCATCAAAACTAGATCTTTCCATGGAAACCACCAGCCCCCATGTGGCTCTCACAGTGCCCAAGTGGAATCTTCCAGTGCCTCTCCCCACTGCCAGACCTGCCGTCACCCTGGAAAAGCTGCAATTTCCTGTGTCAATCAGCCAGTATCTTGGCCTCAAATTTGTTCACCTCCTTAACTTTGGTAACTACTGTCTCCTTTCTACCTCAGCTGTCTGTATACCCTGTACATTTTTAAAACTCAAAACTGAAGTGGTAAACTTCAATATCCCTAAACTTACTGAAAACAAACTCCAATATCCCACATTCTCATTTCAATCCCTTGGTTTCCAGAATTCATACTGTCAAACATCAACATTTTTGTGCTCCCCCACATGGCCCATCTCCATGTGGAGAACTTGGGCTTCCTCACATCATGGAGATCTCGAGGTAGTCAGACTTATTACATGGTAGCTGGTCTCCAAGAGTAAAAGCAGAATCTGACAAGCCTTATGAAAGTTGGTCTCAGAACTGACACAGTATCCTCTCTGCCTTGTGCTGTCAGTCAAAGCAAGTAATAAGAAATCATGAGGCCAGTCCCGACTCAATGGAAGGAAAAATAAACTCTGCCTCTTGAATAGTGGAACAGAATGTGTACACATGGGAGAGGAACCTCAAATGATCCACTTGGCTCGGCCTCCCACAGTGCTGGGATTACAGGCATGAGCCACCAAGCCCGGCCCAGACTTGTTTTTTCTTGGTGTTCTTATTAACTCCCTGCAGACACTGTGAGCAGAGCTAGATCCGCCATGCTGTTTGTCCTCAATTAAAGGGCTGTCCTGAGAGCTCTTTAGCAGCCAGACGGTGCCCTATGCAAACACTAGAGGACAATGAGAGCTAGAAGAATGGCTTAGCTCAGTCATTTGAAGGAAAGAGTTTTCTTTGGCTCAATTAATGGGAAATAAAGGCAAGAGTTCTCTCCTTCCGGCTTCTTTTCCTTTTGGCCATTCTAAATTAATAGGTTTAAGACATTGCTTTTAGTTTAATTTCTTTCCATTACCCTTTCAGTACTCCAGTGCCACCAGGGAGGGCAGCAATGTCTGCTTTTAATAGTGCTTAAAGACGGACCCATGGTTAGGTCAAACCAGGCCTGCACCTCCTACCCTGCTGAACGAGCATGGAGCATCGGCTTCAGCAAAGCTGCAGGAATGCTGTCAAGTGATGACTCCCCCATGGCCACTTATCTACAGCAAGCAGCCTGCCAGAAGCCAGGACGCTGGCAGTCAGTGCTCACCAAGCGCTCAGTCCCAAAACTTCTCTCTCCTCCTGTCTCCCCACCCATAGTGTGTTCTCTAGCAATACACCCATTAACTGTTTCCCTGCTGCTAGACATCTAGATTATTTAAACTGCTTTTGCTGCTGGAAGCAATGCCTCCCTGGGCCTGCGTGTGAGCATTTCTCAAAGGTAGATCCCAGAACGAGGAATCACTTGGTTCACCAGGCTTGCACATTTTAAAATGTAATAGATACATGCTTTTAAACTGCTCCATCACCTTGGTGCAGAATGGAACTCTTGAGAGGTGAGGTCAGCAAGATGTGTGTGGCTCTGAGCTGGCTGGTGGCCCACGTGTTCCCATCCCGGCTCTCAAACCATTTAGTGAGAGGATGTGTGTGGCTCTAAGCTGGCCGGTGGACCACGTGTTCCCATCCCAGAACTCACACC